AATACTTCAAAACTGAAAGTTCATTTTGTAAATTGTGGTCCCATTTTGTAAAATAGACAATAAACGGTGTGTGCTTTAGGGCGTGGCTACCTTACAATTGACAAGTCGCTAGCATGGTGTGTTCCAGTCTGGTTGTGTCAATTTGTCTTACAGTTGTTTCACAATGTGTTTAAAGTTCAGGAAAGTTTGATTTAACATTTTCATCACCGAAAAATCTTGTTTGGTTGCACTTACTGTAACTCCACCCTTTAGAATGCCAACCTAATACCCTTCTTATATGCAGTTTATGTACAGTAATCAATATTCCTTTCAGACCCTGGTGTAACAGCATAGGGAAATGAGAGTCTAACATGGTCAGCACAATGAAGGCTGGCATTGTTCCTGGCTGAGAGTCAAGGCTCACAATACCAACAACATTGCGTTGTACACCAACATACCCATCCCCTTTTTCCTAATTGTGTTAGTGTTTTTGCTCCGTAATGCCAGGTTCCGATTCTTCTATATCACTTAATTACTACCAAATGTTTCACTTCTCGTCATTGAAATGAGTCATTGTGAAGAAACCTGTAATGCAGCTGGTTTCCTCCACTGGAAAACGGCTACACTGTGGTAATGGGGCAGATGAGAATGGCGTTGTCCACCCTTGGGGAATGTGAAGCTCCTAATTACAGAGATTCTCATCGAGAGGGGGGGGGCAGAATGACATTGTGCAATGGTTGGCTGTGTCACAAAAAGTACTCATCCAAATGTCAGTACGCCTACGTTTTTCACAACACAAACAATCCCAAGTAATATTAAAATGATACTGACACTGAAGTAATGGACGTGTATAGACAGACACATTTCCTTTATAATCATTTAATTTGTGGTAACATGAGAATCTGATGTTTTTTTGTTTTTGCACTACTTTATATGTGCGATTCATATCCATACATTACACACATGCACATTTAAATAAACTCCCCATCACACAGGCATAGACAAACAATATGTGATGCAGTATAAATACATATGATTGATTTCTGCTGACCCTAAATATCACAGCTTTTGGATTATCAGGAGTCGTGTTTCACTGACGTTTAAGAGGGTCTCCGTCCTCCTGTGTGACTAAAATAATTTCCCTTTGCGGTCTCAAAGACAGAAAGATCATCGCCGATTTAAGAGCAAGGCAACAAGGAAAACACATTATTTTCAATGATTTGTTTGCGTTATGACGTTGGGGATCAGATGAAATTCCCGGCGGGAGCCAACACATAATCAGAGCCAAAGTAAATAATACAATCAAAGGTTTTCCTTGGGAACATGTATAGTTATGTGTTCATACATGATTACATCATTGAATTCCATATTGTTAGTTGTGCCAAGAGCAAGGACTGTCTTAGGTAAGACAGCTTTTATGTGCGCAGCTCCACTTGCTTGGAACAGTCTTCAGCAAGAATTGAAACTGAGCAATCTCATTCCTCTGCATGTTTTTAAAGCTAGGCTAAATGAAATGCTCTTTGATACTATGGGCACTTGTAAATGTCTATAACTATGTAAATGTACCTGTAAATATGTATGATGTCCTTTATTGTTTTATGTTTCATGTGGAACCTATTTGCTGCAGGTCTCCCTTGAAAAAGAGATCTATGATCTCAATGGGACCAATCTGATTAAATAAAGGTTTGAAATGAAAAATGAAATGAAAATCGTGATTTGTGGCTTATCATGTCAAAATATGATACCGATGACAGTGTATAGTATGTGTGCTGCACCAACATAAAGATCTTTTGTGCTAAACTATAGTCTGGTTTTAACTGAATAAGCATGAGTAATACGTTTTCCAGATGGAAAACAAGTGTTGCCCTTCGTTTCTGCAATTAAGTATTTGCAATGAACTGTTTCCATTTTTCAATGGTGATAAAACACAATTTAAAGCTTAAAGCGTACTGCCTAACTTCTCAAAATGACATCATTGTAGCGTTATTCGTAAGTGGCTATAGTGTTAATTATCCCAAAACCCTTGTTCTTTGTTTCTGTGGAACACACTTCTTCTACTTTAAAGATGCCCTATTATGCTTCTTGGGGTGTTCCCTTTCCTGTAATGTGTAGGTTTGTGTGCATGTAAATGGTCTGCAAAGGCTACAATTCCAAAGTTCCCTCCAGTGGGAGTTCCTCTTCCACACAATGTTTACCTCCTTAACATAATGACATCACTGTGTAACACTCACTCTTGTATTGGCTAGCGCTCCAATAGATTGTGTGTGATAGGTTAAGGGGCGGGACACATCTGAAACATTTCTAAGCAGTTGACCAACCACAACAGAGCTGGCAAGCAAACCTATCAGAGCAGACTGGGCTCTGGTTTCAGACAGAGGGTGAAAAGAAGTGCTGCAGCACAGGCAGTATGAGAAGGTCATTTGAGGACATCCAGGACAGTCCTCTTCGACTACTTCGCCTTGTAATTTTCTCATAGACTTCTTTACAAATGGACTTCTTTTTTCCCAGCGTTTCCCCTTGATGGATATCAAAGAAATGTGCACTTCTGCATTGGCTTCACTTTTGAGTCCCAGCACATTTGCTCTCAACTGAACTGAGAACTGAACATATTGTTTCAGAAAGTGATTCAGTTTAGTTTGTTCACCCCAAGAGGTTTGTTCTATAAAAATCTTTCATGAACAAGAAGAAGTCTGTCCATATGGCTTCGTGTTTACGGCCCTAGGTTTGGTCAATGAATCAGTATTTTGCCTGGTTTTCCAGTCAAAGGGAACAGAGCAACAGGTGTAAAAAGTACACTTAATCTTCTCATACTTGTAGGAATATATCAGGCAGTGATGTGATTTATTGTGAAGTTAAAGATATCTTTGAATCCTGAATCAAACACTGCTTAGAGACTGCACCTGTAAACTTGAATGTTTTTGCTCTAGTCTAAATGAGTAATTATGAGGTTGTAAAAATGAAAAACAGCTGGCCCGAGGAAAGCAATTGCATGTTATACCGTGATCTTTATCAAGCTGAAATAACTATTAATAACAGTCAATGCAGTGAAATTGTTGCAGTATTTTAATTGAACACAGACATTTTGAATTAGTAGACGTTTTAGTTTAAGAAATTAGACTTTAAAATTGTTACTGAAGTTGAGAAACAGCATTGTTCTGGACTGAAAAGGGACAGTGATAACCCACACCTGACTTTGATACACGAGAGAGGTTTCGATTGTGGGACTAAACAGGTGTTAAGGCATTAATAAAATCAGTTGTTGAAAGAAATGGAAATTCAAAAGTATTCTGTGAATGTACGGACGGTGAGACATGCAGAAATATGCTTTTCCACACACCAAAAGCTCCAACTACCCTCCCATGTTTCTTTATGGTCTTGTTCACCATTATTCAAACCCAGCTGTGAAGTGTCATAAAACATTGTGCCTGACTGTACGAGTCCCATTTACTTTATCAACTCCATGTGTCCCATGTGTCCCATGCTGTTTTACATGCATATTTCTTGATTCTTAATCCCAGTCTAACCAGCCTTCCTGGACCCACTGAGAAACACAGAACTCTCCACAATTAGTGTAATTTCCCTTTTATCTCATTTCCTGTTGGTGCGTTTGTAGTCGTGGATGGATCTAACCACCATTGTAAGCAACGACTATGCATGTATTAGCTGGTGCATTTAATCCACTTTGATTTTCTTCTGACCAAGTAGATGTTTTCTCATCACATTTTTGGACAAATAGTCACATGCAAGATGGAGTTCTTGGGGAATAAATTGCTATTTTGGATGTTTTGAAGCTGGGTTTTATAAGGTATTTATCTATAATCAGTGTATACCTAACTTAAATGGATATTTGCACGCCCCCAGTTTGAAAAAGCAGACAGGTTCTGCCATGAAAAGCCAGTTTTTTACGGCTTTGAACAAAATGTCCACCTTATCAAAATCAACATCAGTGTGTGATATATTTGGCCCCGATTATGATTGTTATCAGGCCATTTAATGGCTGTCAGTAGTTGTTTTCAATACCACTTTAATGCATCTGACGGGGCAAACTGCACCCACCAGTAAGCAAGAAGATGCAGACCCAATGTTATGATTACACTTACACTATGTTATGATAGCATTGTAATGATGGTAGGTTACCCAATGTTTGGTCTCAACTCCAAGTGGTTAGGTTTAGGAAAAAAGGTCTTTTTTTTTAGCCTGTGTGCCTTAGTAGCTCAACAAGTGGATGGAGCTCACATGTACTGGTGCTGAGTCCGACCCACAGCCCTTTTCTGCATGTCCAAATCTCATATCTACTATACTATCAAAAAACACAAAAAGTTTGGTAATAACACATTCCATAACTTTGCTTACATAGGCTACGTCACAAAAAACAACTTGATATGATCTTCTGGTTTCCCACAGCACACAAACTCTGCTCCTTGGCAAATATCCATAAACTGATATAGATGTTCCTATGAACAGTCTTTGTTAGGTGGCTAAAATAGGTTTTGATACAGCAGTACAATGCTTATCATACAGTGACTATATGAGTAAGTACCGTATACAACCCCACTTGAAACAAACCATACAACAGCTAGGATGAAGTTGCTGATTTGAATCAATGTTGTTGCATCTATTCATGTAAACAAAAATGATTACAAAATGCTTAACGATAATCTTCCATGACCCTGAGCGCCCAGTGTGTTTTTTCTTGTCATTGTTATGTAGTGCTTCAACGACTTCTTTTGAAAAAGAAAAAAAACACTCATACAGTTTTTCATGGAGATGTGCCCGTTTGAATTTCCCAACAGCTTGTTTGAATCAACTATGTGAAAGTTAGTAATAAAATATTCGATTCCCTGCTGAGTGTTCATAAAAGAAAATATCCTCTGGGTTTTGTGCTGTAGTCTGATGAGCCCTCTGTGAGTAGAGAGAAATGACCCAGAGAGGGTTAACATGAGCAGCGCTGTGTTCCCTCCTCCTGACATTGACTGAGCACTAAACACACACACACACACACACACTCACAGGCACACACTTTCTCTACAGAGGCCAGCACAGAGCCAGAGAGGAGGGACTGTTTGCAGCTCTGAGAGCCAGCTGTCGTTCGCTCAGCGCTGGGTCTATTCTCCCCCTGACCCCCTCGTTCTCCACTGGCCTCATCCCTCCATGGGACTCCAGACCTGGCCGCCAAGCAACCCACCGCTGTCCTCCATGGCCTGCCTTGAAGTGGAGACCCCTTCCATCTGCAGGGGTAAATTCAAATCAGGTGCCTTTTGAACTTTTTCCTTGTCTAACCCGCGCATGCTTTTCATTGTTGTATTTGTATGTTTTCCTATGCTAAACTTGTTCTAATGTTTACTAAAGCTGTCAGTTGGAGAAGAGGTTGTAGTGACGTAGACTCATCCCCAACAGGAAATGACAGGGCAAAAGTAAAGCTCATCACAATGAGTCATGCCATGCATCGTTCTTACAGGAGAGACTGTTGTGTCCTGATGGATCCTGAATCAAAGTTTCTCTAGAAAAACAGTCACAGTCTGCGAGGGGGAACATGCAGTTTATACTGACTGTGTTTATATTGGCACTGTTGAACTACTATTATGGTTTTCTGTCACATTATATAAGCAACACCTGTAATGTTAGTACACACAATGAGCTTGATTCAGATGGAGTGCAATACAACGATATACTGCAGATCAAGATTCTTATCATTATTTGCATTTTTTATATTCTTTGTCTGCATCCATTAGCGGAAAAAGTGTCCTTGGTTAGACCAGAAGTTGAGTAATAGTGACTTTGTTTTTGTTTCGAAAACGTAACATAGCTTTCTTTAATTGACAACCAATATTACTGCTTCTTTGAAGTAATATTTGATAAACTCCAGAGGGTCATGAGTGTATGTTTAAATTGTTTTTGATTTGGCATGATTTCTAAAATGATGGATGATGTCGTAATATGGCATAAGTGTTATCTTTTCCTGGTTTTCACGGTTGCATTACAGTAAAGTGACGTAATTACGTCTGGACTTACCAGATGTCTCCAGCTCTTCTGGTATTTGCCTTTACCCACTTAGTCACTATATCAACATTACTGATGAATATTTATCAGGAACCTCATTGAGTAAATATTTTGGCATAAGCACCAATAGTCATCCCTATAACATTGCTGCGATATCAATATAAGGGTATTTGATCTAAATATTGTAATATTTAATAATCACATTGCCTAGCCATACTTTTAGGATATAGTAAGAAGATGTATAACATGGCACCAGTTCATAATACTATACATGCTTAGTTTGTGTACATTCCTCTCTGTCAGGGCCACCATGCAAGATTTTCAGGTTTATTCAAATCAACACATAATTCATGATCTGACTAATATTATTGTTTTTAAACAAACACAGACATGCCCACTCATGGACTCACTTCCTTCTTTTTTTAAGACTTTTTGCTGAGGGAAAATTACAACAACTTACAAATCGTCTTAAATTCATTGAGTGCCCATATCATCGTTTATTGCTGCAATACATTTTCGATTTAGATATATTTAAAATGATAATAAAGGTACATTTAACCTTCTATACATTTGTTATATAAAAATGACACTGCTTAAAGGAGCCATAGTATTATAATGTTCAGATCCATATTTGTATTTTGTGTCTCTACAGGTCTCCATACTTTAATGTTCAAAAAGATCTTTATTTGTCTCATACTGTCTGCGCTGCAGCACCTCTTTTCACCCTCTGTCTGACACCAGAGCCCAGTCTGATCTGATTGGTTAGCTGCCCGGCTCTGTTGTGACTGGTCAACCTCTTAGAGATGTCTCGCCTCTTAGCCTATCATGTACAATGTGTTAGAGTGCTAGCCAATAGAAATGAGTGATGTCACTATGTTACGGAAGTAAACAAAGGTGCATAATCGAGGCGTTTCAGGCAGGGGGGTCGAGTGTGTGGGACAGAAACTCAATCTGGGGGCACACAAACCTATACAACACACTACAGGAAAGGGAAGACCCCCAAGAGGCCCCTTCAAGCTTTCCTGATTTTTAATGTCACAATATTAGATGTTCTCTACTCGATTTTTATGCCCAAAAGAATTCCTGATAACAATTTTTGGGATATCTAGAGGAAAACTGAAAAAGAAACGTATTTGTGTGCAGGGCTTTGTAGGAGGTAAACAAAGCAAAAAAAGTAACAAACAACTATGTTTTTAAAGAGGCGCCAGATTATTTGCATGACATAATGGTATTTGTATTATAAACACTTTAATAATAGTATCACACTTCTACAGTATCACACTATCAGTTATTTAGGTTGATTTGTGCTTTGACGTACTGTTAACGTGACCTCCAAATAAGCACTTTCTGAATATACCATACTTCATTTGTGTTCTCCTTCTTCAGTACAAGACAAGGTGTATGAATGATACTAGATGAATGTGCCTTACAGTACATGAGTTGTGACTCCATCATAGGAAAATGTATCAGAATTAGTAAACTCTATATTCGTGGTTTGACTTGGTGTTTGCTAAAATGGGATTGTGTTTAAAGTATTTGGTATTTATGACAGTAAAGTCATCATAACCCAGTGTCACTCTGTTCCTAAACTAAATTCATCTTAATCCGCGCGAGCAGTATCTGAAACCACACCAAACAGTTTTTTTGGACTTTATTTTTACTGGAAAACCCCCCCCCCCAGAAAAGTCAAATAAAATCAAAGTTTTGATGGAAGACCTCCAGGGATGATTTGCTGAGAACAACTTGGTCTGAGATTAGAGATTACATCAGTAGACAGAGATTTCAGCAGAGCTCTCTCTCTGTTTCTCCTCTGTTTACGCTCTGCTGGTGAGCAAGAGAGCGGAGCCGGTTTGCATCGTGGAGAGGTTAGCCAGGGTTCACTTTGAACACAACATGACACAAAATGAGTAGGGACCCCTAGGCATGAGGTGTACCCCCCTACTGGCGCTCAAATTAAACTCTTTATTCTCTTGGAAAGAAGCTTTTGATGCTATTGATATGCAGCAATATGTGCTTATAAATCTTCTAGCCTGTGGCGCTTTTTCCAAATGCAGTGGATATGAATATTGAGACAAATTGATGGCAATTCTTTTGTTTTTACAATCTCCTGGTATGATTTGTCTCAAGCCGCCTGGGTCTTTAATAGGAAACACAGCAGGCGGGCACACTGTGTTCTCTGCCCCACAGTTGATGGGCTGCTGTGAGAGTGGTCTCAGCCTCCCACCCTTTGCCTCTGCACTTGTCACTCTGAGTTCCCTTGCCCACCAGTGGAAGCCAGTGAATGTCCCCTCGGCTCTCCGCGTACAACCGTAGACCCCACCCCCTTAACAACCCCTGAATTTCATGGTTCCCAGGCCTTGTTCTCACAGCTGCCCAGTTTATTTTTGCTAGAGTGAGTCACAGAGGCTTGTTCAGACGCAGCGCATTTCCCAGGAGAGTCGCAGCACGTCTGTGTGTGTTTGTGTGTGAGTGGGAGTAGCTGTTTCCCCTGAGCCACAGAGTAGCTGTAGCAAAGCCGGGTTCACTTCACTACATTGGTTACGATGAAAGGTCTCATGTACCTCAACCCGCTGCCTCATTCGTCGCCATCACCCACCTTCCCCTTCATGTTTTTTCTGCATAAAGTGATGTTATTCTGCTGAAATAACATGTCCACGCTCACTTGTTTATAAATGTTTAAACTGGGATTTAACTACAGTTTATATTGACGGTGTGGGGCCTGCATGCGAGACTCTTATTTCTGCTGAGAGATAGTCAGTCTTTGATGTGCCTCTGCTCCTTGCTTATCCACTATAAGCAAGATTACATTTTCTAAACAATTTAACAAATACACATGACTCACCTTTTGCTGCCGTTATGACCATTGCCATTTTTGCTCATTACTGCGACTGCAGACATTAATCCCTCTCTCATCTGTGTGTATTCTGTACTGTAGATACTTTGTTTGACTTCTCTGTGTATTTGCATCCCAGTAAGAGATACTGACGCTCATTTGGAACTTTTTTTTCCTATCGCATTGCACTGTCCTGAAGTAACTGTAGTAAACTTGTGGGATAAACATCAGTTGAAAGCATGCAGGAAGTGGATTGGATGTCAGTGGTGGTGAAGAGGGAATGCTCTCCGGCCTTTGGGGTGGTTATTGATTGAGAAATAATAAGCATTTTGTTTTATTTGAAGTCTGGCAGGTTTCACAGTTTATGGCAGAGATGGTTGTTAGTACTCAGCGGACTCGGCTCTGAATGGTTAAAGTTCAACTGTGACCTCTGTGTCTCTGCAGTCCTCCAGCTCTGTCTGCAGCAGAGGAGAAGTCGGGAGCAGCTCGTGGAGCAAGGCATCATGCCGCGTGAGTTATCACATCACACACTAACAATAGTTTCACCTAAAGAAATTAGTCGGCAAGAAAGTTACCAATATGTCCAAAATCCCAGAATTCCTTTCTCTCTCATAACAATTCTATACTTTCTGCAGGCATAATATTAGGGATACAAATCATCTGTTTACTTTACTGCATCTTAATCAACAAAACATCTTCGGTGCTTTTGGGGGACATATGTGTAGTTCCATTAAAATAATTTGAGACCCATTTAAACGTCATAATGTTATTTGTGATTATGCTCTACAAAGTGTATTAACCACACCTGCTTTAGTTGTCTTTAAGGCAATGGTTTAGAGTAGCATTATTTTGCACTTTAAGACAGTTGTTGTACTTTTTACTCCACTATTTCACTATTAAACTTCAATTACTTTAAATATTTAGATTAGGTCTCTACAAATTACTCAACAGATAATTAATCAGGAATTTGTATATGGTAAGATTACCTTTATTATTCCCTTGATGTAATGCACAAGCAGTTTATATACAAATCCTTATTTATCAGCTTCAATATCACAGGGATGAGCACATTAATGCATACATCATAATAATACATGTTTATATATTTGTTTGCAATGAGCCAGCAAAATGATTGCTTTTACTTTTTATAATTGAAATGCATGTTGATGCTTATGCTTTTGTAGTCTTTCTTGGTTTTCCTTATCAGAGAGTATTTATACAAAGTGGTAAAAGTACTTTTACTCAAAAGATCTGAGTTCCTCACCCACCACTGATATAAGGTGACAATGTTTGAGCTCACACAGGTCTATCAAAATGTTAAAAAGATTATTTTGCACATCTAACCAATTTATTAGGGAAGTTCGGGATTTTAGAATTGTATATGTTGCATAAAAACATTGTGTACGTCTGCACATGAATCAATATCTTATATATCCTTATCTAGACAGTGTAAACGTGTATTGTCTCATTCAGACTGTTATTGATAGTCATGTTATTGTACTCCTGTAAACATAATGATGAAAGATATTTTCCACTTGTTAGAGTCTAAAATTAAACCGTTGGAAATGCAGGCTTTAAAAAGTCTAATATTGGTTTTGATTTTATAGTTCCGAGATTTAATTCTCTACTCTTGTTCTTGCAAATAAAATGTAATGAATTAAGTGTGTCAATACCTCCATGCTGACTATCGTGCAAACTTACCAGCTTCATAAGATTTAGATGTCACTTCTAGCTAGATTATGACTGCTCTCAAAGTAATTATGGAACTTATTTATATTCATAGGGTATCATTTTCCTGCATGTTTGTGCTATTATATCAACAAGATACTAATTAGTACTTAATTGAATTCTATGTAAAAGCCCTAAAAAGCCTTGTATTTGACTTGAAACCAACAGAAACCCGGGAAAATAATTTAAATATTTACCACAATAAGCCGTCAAGCAACAACAACCCAGTGCCATAACAGAAAGAAAGCACTCGTGCTTTACACCGTCCATCCTCTGATGAGACTGGAGTGGAGCAGACTCAGTCCCCTGTGCTACTCCTAATAAAAGATAAGCTGAATAAGTGACAGAATCATGCTGAAAGCTGGAGAGGTAGAAAGAAAATAAGACCAAGCTCTTTCGCTTCGTCCTGTTTTCCGTTGAGTCTCCTGCAGTCTCTGGCTCCGCTCGGCCCCATGAGTCAGCGCCTGAGCCCGCAGTGGAGGTCAGGGGCCCGGCCAAGCGTGGCCCTCGCTCAGACCTACGGCCATCCTCCACTAAAGCACTCTGCTGCTCCCACTTATAGGCTTATGCTAGGTATGCACTGAGGTTTAGGTGACGAGCAGGAATGTTTTGCTTTCCTCTCTGACACACTCCTAAGAGCAACTCTCCCACTCCAGCCAGTGTGTCTCCAAACAGTGCGGGTGATAGCGGAGGTGACTACTCAGAGCCAGACCTCGTTTAAAACAGGACAAGTTTATTCTGCCAGATCAAAAAGTCACTCTCTGCTTGAGTCAGTAAAGCTGGTACTTCCTGTTTGACTCCCATGAGCTCCTGCTTACTAATATCACACTCATGCAGGCGGACAGAGACAAGAACATGAAATGATGATCTTGAATATGAATAACAGGATGGACTGTCAAGGAAATGCTGACAACATATTAGAGATGGTGAAATGATGCTTATGTGCACTTCATAGTGACCTTTGTATGACACAAATGTTCTAAGCATTCTGAATCAAATGATACATAGGGATATATTTTTATAAAACAGACGGATGTATTTACATTATATAGCAAATGCCCTTCCTTTTGTATTCCAGGCAGAATTCTACTGTCCTTGAGTTTACTGTGTATTATAAGTTGAGCTGAATATTAGCGCTTTATACCTTCAAGGTATCGACCAAAATAACCCAGTCGCAAGTTGAATCGTCCACACTCGAGCAATACCTCTTCAATCCATTCTGTACCAAGATCCCGAGAAGTATTTTTTTTCCTCGCAGCCAATCACTGCAAACGTTTTTGTATTTAATGCAACCATCGATTGGCCCGCTACCGTAAGCAGATTCAACCCATACTGACTCTGTTGCTCTAGTGAAATAGTGAACTTGTATACATTTTTAACACTTCCAAAATGTATTTGTATAGCAATCATTGAGATGGGGTGTTGGTGGCATGTTGCTGCTTCCATTCATATGATGGGTATTGAATGAGGTAATAAAAAAAGTATCAAATGCAGTACAATATTGATAAATCATAATTGTAGGGGAAGTGGTATATGTACTGGTACTGTGTTATTTGAAACAATACCAGCCCTTTTACCGCCAAACGTTTATATTATATTTGCTGCTGATTTGTGTCTAAATGTCAAAAGGACAACATGATTAATTACAGTATATATAAATCTAGCAGAGATGAAGCTTTGTGAGCTGTGAAGGAAGGGACTTTGGTTCATTCAAAATGCTTCCCTTAATCCATAACAAAGAGTAAATGCAGTAGAAATATTCTGTACCTCACATTATTCCACTTACAGCATGTTGTGCATTAACCTCTTTCTGTTTGTAGTTCAATTATCAATCAATGGTTGCTATTCAAAATGAATAACTACAATAAACACCCCAAAGTAAATGGCCTTGGGGAATAAAAAGGGGTCATAATCTAAAATGTTATTTCACCTTTTCACAGCCCTGAAAACACCTGCTGCCTTTCATGAGCAGATTCGCAGCCTGGAGAGAGCCAGGGTAAGACTAGTCAAACTGAAGCTACTGATCGTATTGGTCTAAATCTAGATGATAACCCCAAAATATATGTTATTTATTTGTATTTTCTTACAGACTGGGAGCTTCCTAAAGCACAAACTGTGCAGGAGACCTGAGCGCTCTGAGCTGGTCCGTATGCACATCCTGCAAGGTAATCTTCTCCTGTGAGCTCTTAATGGCTTCTAGATAACAGAGATGAATAAGGTGCTCATTCATCCAATGGCTGTTTCAATTTGCTTTACAAAGTTAAAACCAGATAAATGTCTTTGAAGTGAACATAGAAGTTATGTAGGTCTCCAGTGAGTCACTCTGACAAAGCAGTTAAAGGAAGACTTAACCCCAAAATAATCATTTATATATCAACTACTCACCCTGTGTCTTTTTTTCATATAAATGAAGGGGTGACGGACAGCGACATTGTTGGCTGAATTGAAGTAAATAGAAGCCCTTTTAAAAACTGCAAAACTAAATTAAAATGTTGGTTTACAAACTATCACAGAACTCCACCACTAAAATCCAAGACTCATTCACTCAGTCGTATGATCTCTACTTTGCAAAGACATTCTCTATTGACTATTTAAAACACTTTTAAATAAACATTCTCACGTTAATACAAGTCCTGACGAGTAATGCGAAAAGGCGCTTGTGAAGTAGTGATCTTATGTCTGACTAAATTAACTTTGATGAAGTTTCACTTTTTGTGTGAGTTTGCAAACGGATGATTTGAATTTGAGTGAAAGCATTTAATGACATTTGCTCAGTTAAAAAACGATGTTTCCCTTTACAATGAAATGATTCCTTTGCTTTCCAATCCTAAAAGTAGTGGGTAATTGTCTGTATGAATGTGGTATAGTTTTGCTGTTGTTAAACTTGTGTTCAACACTCGTCATAAAGGCATGTGAGAAAAAGTGTTCTTCAAGAACTCAAGATATTGAAATACAAGTGGTCATTTTGTGGGTAAAGCTTTCCTTTAAAAGTCTAACTGATGCTAGTCTTATCACAGCGAATGATTCTCTGTGTTTTCCCCAGAGACGCAGGCTGAAGCCTCGCTGCAGGCCACACAGTTGAAGCTGAAGAGGGCCCGGCTGGAGGATGATCTGAACGAGAAGCTGGCCCAGCGGCCGGGAGCCATGGAGCTGGTGGAGAAGAACATCCTGCCTGTGGACTCCGGTGTGGAAGAAGACGATGATGGTAGATACTCTGTATGATACATGTGATGATGATACAATGATACACTGTATCAGTATCATCCTCACTGTCAGCAGACCTGAGCCTTCCAGAGTGTGTTGTAGCCCTCTTTGGTGCCAAGCTCACCACCAACAGTTGTGTAACGGCCAGTTAACTTAAGCCAGCATTGCAGGCACATGTTTTAGCTGTTACTGGTGTTATTACACATGCTTGACAGATTAACGTCACATTTTTTAACAAACATTCATTGAGCCCACTGGATGAAGCCTACGTACTTTGGTGATACCGTGGCTTTACCTCTAGTACCACCGTGAAGTTGACATTTTTGGTTATTAGTGAAGATATCCCAAAAACTTTTGGATAGATTGCCATGAAATTCAGCCCAGATGTTTACTTCACTCTTAGGACAAATCGTAAACACTTTGGTCATGAGCTGACTTTTCATCTAGCACCACCATAAGGGCCAAACATCAAGTAGCTCCTCTATATGTTAAGTACTAATTAACAAATGTTAATATGCATATACGCTAAGTACAATTGTGGAAATATTTTACATGCTTAACATCAGCAGATGTCTTTGTTAGCTTATTCAGCTCTTCTGTGTTGTTGTGTGTTCATTCAAGTGATGGCTTTTTTACTATTTAGTTATAACTCATAACTCAAGTTTTCTTTTATGGAAAAAAAAACGAACTTTCTTATAACAATTTGAATTTAAGTGGAGTGCCATAACCCAAAATCCAATGAGTTTCCTTTAGTTAAGCTGTGGTTGCTAATGTTTGATTCTTGCCCCACAGGTGGTGAGGTAACCTGCTCTAAGCCAACAGACATCTACAACTTTGATGAGGACAGCAGCGATGCATTATCACCCCCACAGCCTGCCAGCCAAAAGTCTTCCAGCTCCACGTCTGCCTCTCCAAAGGAGTCTGGAGGGACTGAGGCCACTTCCACTTCCTCTAATTTAAACTCTCCAGTACAGGTACAACAATACAATGAACATTTACAATATATAAATTACAAACAACTATTAAAATAAAGGGAAGAAGCTTCTCATGTGTAAGAGAACCGCAGTGACGCATCCTAAAAGTAAGTTAGCATTTTTACCACGTCAGGTTCCTTCGACAAAAAGCAATGCAATTTCTCCATAGGATTTTGGAAAATAGCTCCAAATAAGGTCTGTGTTTGACACAAATTGAAGAGACGGATCACGTTTTGTTCTACGACATTAAATCCATCAGCTTTTTGAAGAGTTTACGTGTCTAAAAAACGATGGTTGAAGTGGCTGAATAGGACTACAGAAGTTGTCCAGGCCGTTTTACGTCATTACACCGAACACGTAAAACACTCCCGCGAAGTTTGAAAGCAAGTACCTGCCTCCTGATAACTGTTCAAACAAACGCTTCAACTTGTACCATTTACAATCTGTATGTTTGAATATGGATCTTAAGTCGGCGTGACGTTGAAGCAGCGACCCTGCTGTAGTTCCTTTATAGCATGACGTTAGCATTTTGCTTCTTGCGACTAGATTTATGCTTCGAAAATTATAAAAGTAGGATAGACATGTGGATATTATCTGGCTGAACAAAACGTGATCCGTCTCTTAAATGTGTCTCAACCACAGATCTTATTTCCAGCTATTTTCCAAAATCCTATGGAGAAATTGCATTGCTTTTTGTAGAATGAACCGGAAGGAGTTTACTTCCGGGTTTTAGGACGCGTCACTGCGGTTCTCTATTGAGGCCCTATTATTTAATGTAGGGTTTTCCCTTCCTGTAGTGTGTTTGTGTGCATGTAAATGGTCTGCAAAGGCTAAAATCACACCCCCACCCGATGCCTGAACGCCTCCATTGGTCTTCTTTGTTTACTTCCCTAACATAGTGACATCACTGAAACACTGGCGCTTCTATTGACTATCAGTCCAACACATTGTATGTTATAGGCTAAGGGGCGGGACATTTCTAAGCGGTTGACCAATCACAACAGAGCCAGCCAGCTAACCAATCAGAGCAGACTGGGCTCTGGTTTCAGACAGAGGGTGAAAAGAGATCCTGCAGCAAAATAAAAAGTATAATATTTAAAAATGATTAAAATAATACTGCTTTAAAGAAGGCTGTGGTAGCCATTTTGTACTTATGAGAAGACAATTCGAGACTTGATTTGAGGCAAATACAAGGAACTTTTAGTTTTATCTTTAGCTCTATTATTTTTATTATAATTTAGTGGAATAGGAGTACCTCTGCGTCATGCTGATAAGATCTTAATCTGGCTAGTGTCTGTATTAGTTTTGGAAGTAAGTGAAAAGAAAGAAAGAAAGAATCAACTTCTTTTAAATACCATATCCCTTAATGATGGTGAAATAAAGTTCACTTTTTTAAGCCACCAACAAAAGTACATATATGTATGTAAAACCATTTCTTTAAATGTATTTCCTAAATAAACTAAACATATTACATACCAGTCCAGGATGGAGAGTCGATTAAGGATTGTTTTTGAATTCTCTACATGTGTTGTATTGATTTGTTCTTTGGTCAAATTATTTTCTTTTTTCTTTGTTGATCCTGCCCCAGTATACGACATAACCACTAAGTATAGCCTACGGAAAAAATTATTTTCAGAAGGCTAGTTTTTTTTCAAAGGCTGACATGCTGCTCACTGCCAAAGTCTGCCTCTTCAAATGTAAACATGGCTATTCCAGTCTGCGAGCCTTTAATTGTTTGGTCTAATGTTTTGTCAAAGAAAATCAGACTCAATGACTTTATTACAAATAAAGCCTTCTTGCTGATGGTTTTCTTATGCAAGTCATATAGAGGCATTACTATTGAAAAACTCCTTTTATATATACATATGTTTTACTGTATCTAACAGACACGTTCCAATAAATGTGTAGACACATTTTGTTCTCATGCTTCTACGTGTTTATCAACCTGTGTCTTGTTATATCATTCCAGTTGAGGTACTCTATCTTCTTGCTCAGGATGATGACTAACAGGCGTAGCGGCTTCACTGTTCTTACTGAGCGGATCATGTGGTTTCTCTCTGTCTCTTCTGTTCTTAGCGCTTCCCCCCACCTCCTAACACACAGTGCACATCAAACGCAGTCAGCCCTGTCTCCACGGGCGAGCGACAAAACCACCAACAAGCCTCTGCACCTCAGCCAATCACCAGCTCTGTCCCAAACATCACCCCGGGGCCACTTCTTGTAAAGGTGAGCTGCAGTTTACCGAAAAGGAGAAGCTTTCCTTTTATTAAGGATGAGTTAAGTTAAGCTGTACATTCACCTAGAGTCTTTTTATATTTACACCCAGCCGACATGAAAGACCTCAGTCACGGAGCTCAATTTGATGTATTGCCTGTTTTTGTTTTGTTTTTTGTTTCCTTTGGAAATGTGAAGAGTGTTGTCGGAAGACACAGAGTCTGTGTTTTGTCATTTTTTAAAGTGATATCAGTTTTATGGTAAACTGAAAGTCAGCATACAGCCAAGTAACTTCAAAGAACAACAGGGTCATTTAGCAAATCCTTAGGCTGGGGTCTGTGCCAGCCACAGGTTGTCTTTGATTTCAGGACAGAATGGCCTGAAATCGAAGGATGGGAGTGAGGCAGTAACGTTTATTGCGTTTATCATAATCCGGTTATCCTCTGAGCATAGGGTGAACTCTGCCTCCCTTGGAATACCGAGGAGGAATGAGTTTGACAAATTAGAGGCCGGTTGCTTGCTTAACCCAGCTTGAGTTTCTGGTTTCATAGCAAGAACCTGCTGCTCCTGTGCCAAGCCATTTTCCTGTGTATCCTGTAGCTGCAGGTGGTAAAACAATAAAGGTCACATTTACTACCCGTTTCCTCATCGTGCAGTTCTCCTCGGGTGTCAGAACAATGTTCTACCTTAATGTTTCAAACTATAAAAGTCAGGTATCAGTTCCAAGTCTTGCAATGTTGGAACTGGCACTGCTTACTCTGTTACCTGATAAACTGGACTGAGATCAGTTCCAGGAATCAAATATCCTCCAGATGGTCCTCTCAGCTTTGACATGCTCCTTTTCTTCTGTCTTGTGTTCTGCAGCAAAGCTTAACCAAGCTACCCGGGGATAAAAGCCGCAGCAAAAAGAGCAAAGAGCCCAAACCGCGGGTGAAAAAGCTGAAGTACCATCAGTACATTCCCCCGGACCAGAAGCAGGATCTCAGTGAAGTTCTGATGGACTCGGCTTACGCCCGTCTGCTGGAGCAGCAGCAGCAGTTCCTGCAGCTTCAGATCTTAAACCAGCAGCAGCAGCAGCAGCAGTACAGCTACCAGGCCGTCCTGCCCGCCACTCTCAAGTACGGCTCCATGCAAAATGGCTTTACACCCACGGCCCTATCAGAAACGTCGCTATCAGAAAAAGATTGTGACTTGTTTTGGAAGTAATATGGTCTTTGTTTACATTAGCAAGCATCGCTAACACTCAGAGCTAACCTTTACTGGAGAGAGTCTGTGTAAAAAGGCCGGATATAAAAAGGAACTCACCTTGTGGTAAACCCGCAAGAGAAAAAGCATTTGAGCTCCCCCCTCTCTTTTTTTGGGGGGGGGGGGGTGAATTAGTATGAGGCATGGTTAGAATGAGTGATCTGATTGGTATTTTGAGCAAAAAACTTCATAGACATGTTTTTTATATATTTGTATATATCTGAGAACTGTAATATATGCCTAAAAATAGAATAATAGGAGACCTGTCTATATCAAAGACATGCATTACAACTAAATGAAAACACCTGGTTTTACATAAACTAATAACTATTTATCCCCAGCTGCTGTTTGTCTCATATATTCTACATTTCCTGCTGATGGCTCTTCACATGGAAGCTGTTGATTGTGAGAAATGGATAATAGTTTAGATTCCATCCCTGATCTTTCCTCCCTTTTTTCCCATCTTAAAACAACAGACCAACTACTGAGGTACAAAGCAGCTGCTGCAGAGTTGCTCTGAGAGGAAGCGCTGCGTCTCCCCCTGTGCACCCCCGACACACTCAGACCAACCGCAGGCCGGATCACTTACCAGCTAACCTGGATGAGATGAAGGTGAGATGTTGCTGCCTGCACACAGTCTAACACTAATATGCACCTCAAGCATGCTGCAGACGAGAACGAGCTAGATGTTAAGGAGGTATTTTACCTTTATATGTTATCTTTACAGGTTGCTGAGCTGAAAATGGAACTAAAGCTCAGATCTCTGCCTGTTTCTGGGACTAAGACAGATCTAATCGAGAGGCTGAAGATGTATCAGGAGAACTCTAACCCCCAGACCGCCACTGAGACCACAGCCTCACAGTCTGAAAACATAAGGTTAACCCCGCCTGTGTCCCCCATATCCTCCAAGGTGTCCAGTCTGGGCATTGAGGACAGCCCCACCAGGCTTCCTGATGCTCTGTCTGCAGCCCCCTGTGTGACCTCCCCGCACAGAGCTCCACAGGAGGAGAGTCCCACCGAGAAGAGGCCCTTTTTTAAGGACTCTGAGAAGGACAAACGACTCCACGAGAAGCAGCGGCAGATTGAGGAGCTGATGCGGAAGCTGGAGCGGGAGCAGAGGCTGGTGGAGGAGCTGAAGATGCAGCTGGAGGTGGAGAAGAGGAGTCAGCAGGGAGATTCTCCACCTCACCGCAGCCCTCTCGCTCCCTTCAAGGTCAAAGAGGAAAACTTGTCAAACTACTCAGTGTCTTGTGGTTCTCCTGGCCTTCCAGTGTTGGTCAAACAAGAGGAGGCGGGTCCTCAGAATCAATTTATCAACCAGACAGTGCCTGAAAGCGTGCAGCGAGGTCAGGCTCAGATCATCCTGGCTTCATCCCATCCTCCCTCAGCAGGCGCGATCCAGCTCCCTCCCAGCAGCATTCAATCACACACTACTGTTAGCAGCGCGGCCCCAGGCCTCATCCAGACGTCTGGACAGGTGCCACAGAAAATAGAGGCCTCAGCAGCGCTACAACAGCACTGCAGCGCTCAGACTCAGCCGTCCACAAAGGTAAGAAAACATACGCGTGCTCGCATAGCCTCGGTCCGTCTCTGTTTTACTCGTCACTATCAGCTGTGATTTTAAGCTAGGTTTGGATTTCTTGAAAACGTGTGAGTTGTATGTTATCATCCGTGTGTGTGCGTGCACCTGAAATCATAAAGTGTGCTTTCCATGCAGTTAATTCAAGTTAGGTTGCACGTCACACATCTGCTGCAGTGTTTATGATGGCTCCGGCTAATCAAACATCAGAGGGTTTTTTTAACTTTATTGATGATCTTTCACGGGTAATGCATCTTTGTTGTTCCTATAATAATAACCCTTCCTTATTCACATCAAAACAAGGCTTGTGGAAACTGGAGCAGGCGCTGAGTGGAGGCTGACAGCAGTGCCCTCTGTCGTCCCTCTGCTCTGAGCCACACTAGCAGCCAGAATTAGCAACAGAAATAGCAACTCAAAGCTAGCTGGGGATAACACTCATACTGCTGTCAGTGTGTGGGGGGGGAAGATGGTGAGGCTTTAACTGATGAGGTACCTAAGAAAAGTCAAACAAAGATACATTGCTAAAAACCTGGAAGTGATGAGCAATCTTCAATTCATTGAGGTTGCCCGTAATTGTGTCCCTCAAAAGCAGCTTGGTTGCGACAACAGACGTGTATGTTGCTCCCACAAAGACAGTGGGTGTTGTGATGCACAATGTTGCTAAAAACTGCACAGCTCATTCACTTTTCATTCAGATATACCTGTTTTTTTCGGAGTCATGTGTCATAAAACACTTTTTGCGATCTTGCTCTTATTTGACCTTGTATTTCCTCTTGGGTTTCTGTATGATCATACATCAAAGGAATTTCTTTATATTTGAAAACCTACTTGGCAATAAACTGAATTCTGATTCTGAATCTGATCATTTCATTGGATAATGTGTTGCTGACCTATCTCACTGTCCCTGCAGACATGGATGATGGGTAATGCAGCACAAAGCTTACTCGAAACATTCCCAGCCAGTGGTGGTCCTGTAGGAGCCTCCTCCAGCCAAGCTGGTCCTAAGGATGCTACTAATAAGGTACTTACTCTATTTGTCTGAAGGACATTATGACTCCTGATTTATTTACGTATCGATACAGCGGCAAGTGCATTTGAATGATGTTGTCTCTTTTCATTTGGACTGAGCCTCTGTTGTCTTCTCCTCTCTTACAGTCTCCCAGCCAGCCAGCGTCGATCATGCCAGACCATGTGTCGAAGTGTAAAGACCCGCCACGCTACGAGGACGCTGTAAAACAGACACGCAGCATGCTAACAGCTGTTCAGGTGACAATATTCAATAGGAATGTGTAATTGCTTCCTTAGCTAGAGCAGTTTCTTCCCGTGTGGTCTCCTAGGCATATGATGCTGCAGTTAATACTGGGTGTTTACTTTATTGTGTTTTAAAATTTCAAGGGTGATTTGGAAGAAATATTTAATTAATTGAATATTACATTTAATTATTATTTTTTTGTCTTGATATTGCAATTGTCAGATGATTCATATACTGAATGCAACTATCATTTTGGAACATATATTCTAACTTGTATTGAAAGATATTGGAAAATGATCATGCAATGAAATGGTCTTTTTTGCCAGGATCTTTCAGAAAAGACAAACAAGTATCAGAGTAAGTTTTGTAGGCTGAGAAACCTTCGCAGAACCACCATTGATGTAATAATTACGCCTCCTGCGATTTAATAGTAGTGTTCCATAATGTGATTTCAATAAATGTCCAATACTAACTCAAATAATGTTTAGCTCCATTGTGTTTCTAAACTATATGTTTGTTTGATGTGTTTGAAATGTTACGTAATCTACACAGCTTAGGGGCGGTGCAGACAAAAGGCAACAATAAGATGTAGAGTAGTAAGGTAACACACTAAAGAATCACTATTGCTGCTGTCTTAAACACGGCTCCCTTGGAAGTCATGTTATCTTAATGGGACTTGTCTGGTTAAATGAAGGCTTCATTAATGTATAAATCAAATGTATAATACACTATATCATTGACATTGTTTCTATGGCCACTCAAACATTTACTTACCTTCCTTATTTCTCTGCAGGGTCCCAGCGCAGCCAGCCAGCAGATGGATGACTTGTTTGATGTATTAATCGAGAGCGGTGGTGAGAATAATGCAACCTTTCTTTTTAGAACGGACTGGGACATAAAGTATTTTTTAGCTTTTTGGATTCTCACCATGACCCTTTGTGTCCTTGTTCACAGAGATCTCCCCCTTCATCAGGCAGGACCCTCCCTGCCTGGACAAGCCTCTCCCTGTGACAGCCAGTGTCACCACCCTACCCATCAGCACGGCTCTGTCCCGCCCTCCCCCTGTGGTCCAGGTAGCCCAGCTTCCTGCAGCGCAGCTCAACCCCTCTGCCAGCTTGGCGGCCCTGACCTCCGACACCCAGCTGGAGACCCTGCTGGCTGCTCACACGGAGCCCCAAACTCTGACTCTGCTGGAGGAGCTGCACTCCCCCGTGGTCAGCATGGAGGTGGACTCCCCCTCCGCTTCGCACTTGCACAGCACCAACATGGACAACATGGATTGGCTGGACCTCACCCTGTCTGTGCCCGCGGGGGGGGTCAACCCTTTGGACATGTCAGCGCCGGTGGGCGTCTTCTCCTCCGACTTCCTGGACTCACATGAACTGCACTTAAACTGGGAGTGACCGAGGAGATTTCACGCACCTATCAGACGATTTTTTTTATGCAAGGGAGGTAATTTCCTGTGTGGAGAAATAAGTGCTTTTTGGAGGTGGGGGCAGCTCTGTTTTGCTTTCTGCCCCATAATAATCAGCTCAGTAATAATCGAATATGTGCTGCATCAGTTAAGACGTTCCTGCATTGCTTCCTTTGAGGTCTTTACAGCCTCTGATTGTAATGGGAGACTGACATTAAGTAGGACTGGTACTGGCAGATTAAGATGACAGTGGAAGGAGCTTTTAAAATGTCAATCTTAAATAATTCCACTGTTATTGCTTTCCTTTCGTCCTCCGATCGTAATGAATGTACAGCGTTTTATTGAATGTTGTAAAAGCTGAAAAAGCAGGAGATATGTCCTAATGCTGGTTAAAGATAGGACAAACACTGCATGTAGCTGGGGGGTGTTATGTTGTTCACTCCACCCTGTCTTTCACTATCAAAACAGATTGTAAACACACACCTACTCAATGTGCCCCCTGTGTAAGTGTAAAATGTGAAGCATAAATCAGATGTTTATATGATAGTGTGAATGTGATAATGATAGGATATGAGCCCGCTGAGGTAACATAGTGTCAAATGAGTCCGATCAACCCAGGATTTACTGCAAAAAATTCAATGTCTCAACCAGTTCTGACAAGAATTCTAGCATGAGCCAAATCCTGCACACTCTTTGTAAAACCAATAGTCCCAGGGCACAACATTTGCCAAATACTGGTAAAATATGCAAATTGCTACAGTAGATTTGCATTAACTACAGGTCCAAAAACACCAGTGATATATGGACTGAAATCTGCAATTTTACTAGCCTTTTTGCTTCTGGACAAAAAAGTTATTTTTGCACCCTGCCTTTGATATTAAAAAACAAAACACTGATTAGGAGACCTCATTATCTGCTGTGCTCTTGATCAAAATGACCATTCATCGACTCTTCATGGGTTAAAATGATTCCATACATGCCTGCTTGGTTTTTGTTTAGGTAGTTTATTCATCTCTGTGCATTACAATGTAACAACAGACCAACAGTCATCCTACAGAGGAGAAACAACATCCATCAGTATGAACCACTGCTCATTTGGGTTGTTCACTCACCTCACACTAAAATAGCAATACAGTTGATCTGTATTATAGTGACATCTGCTGGCCATACCCAGCCTTTGCAACAGAAAGGTCTGTGGTCTGACCGCTTTCCTTTTCATTAAAGGTCCCCTATTAAATGCTTTTTAAACAATATATTATAGGTCCCAGATATATACAAAACATGTCTCCAAAGTGTTTGGCTCGAAATGCCAAACAGATAATTGTAGCATGCCATAAACCCCTCTATTTCATTCCTGTTCCAAAAGTGCAGATTCTGTGTCTGTACCTTTAAATGCGATGAGCTGCTGCTGGCCACGCCCCTCTGCGAAATGATTGGTCGGGAAAAAAACAATGGTGCTCTAGGAGGAGATTCAGGTGATAAGGTGGGTGTTACCATGGTTGGTTATTGGCTGGTTGCACAACCAATAAAACAGTTGTCATGTCACAAAGTTGACAAAATCTGATCAGCTGATTTTAAGACAGGTTTTTATATAAATGGATCAGGACAAAAAGAGAGAGAATCTTTTTTCCTGAAGCTTTCCGAATCTCTTAACACAGAGAGGACACATATGTATGTACAAAACACATGACAAAAGTGGATTTTGCGTAATTGGTGACCTCCCGCATAAGAAAAATAACATTTAGTATCAAAGTAACCATATACACATATACACAGCATGATGCACCACTGTTGCATTCTAAAGGAGTTCACTGTCTGCCTCTGAAGGTTATCGGAAGAACTGTTAACAAACTCATGTGAATGTAGAGGAAGGTGTTGTAAAAAGGACTGATGACGATGACACTTTTTTTTATAGTTATTCTATAAGAACATTAGTGCTTTTTCTGACAATCCAAATGTCACTCTTTAAAAGGATTATGTGCTATAATGAGATGTTAGTGTCGCTAATGAACTGGTAACACCAAAGACAAACTCACTTATTAGCCTGTAAAAGCAGATTATCATTTCAAAATGATTGAATTAGAGGTCTGCTTGTCTGCTTTGAAAAAATGGATGTCACGTAATGTCCTTGTCTAAAATATCCATAAATCTAGGATAAATAGACACCAGTTTGTCCCTCTGACATGAGCATCATCCTTCAACCTCTCATATTCAGTGCTCATGAAACACAAACAAATCTGCAAGTGCTGCTGTATGCTACATCACCATTATTAAGTCTGATACTCTTTCAGGTTCAAGTTCTTACCAACTGCTTTTCTCTCACATCTGTTTAATAGTTATGATTGACGTTCGACACTTGGGACATCTGTGTGTGGTGGATTTGAATCTATCCATGCAGAAGGGAATGAGGCAACAACCAGCAATGCAACTGCAAAATAAGGAACAAAATCAAATGTTAACAGACCTGGAAACATGGCTCTGGCTGCACCAATAATACCAGGCTAAATAATCATCTCATGCCAATATTTCACCGGGATTAAGGGAATGGTTCCATACCCAATTAAAGCCGTCATGAAACACATGAGCCAGGTGACGCTGCTGATGGAGGTAAACGTCTCTGTCATGATGAACTGCTCACACTCAGGACACTGCGTCCTGGTGGGGCGGGGGGGGAGCTTCTCCATGTCCAGAATCACTGTAGGCGCTGTGAAGAACAAAACAACTAATCTATGTGTTTCCAACAAAAATCAAACTTAATATTTCTCTAAAACTTCTAGAGGGAACATTCTGAAAAATGGTAGCTATTAAAATCTCCAGTTAAGTGTCAGTAACTTACATTGTAATTTAATTAATTATCTGATATAATTCTGGTCAGATTCTGGTTACATTTAGTGCGACAAAGTTGCAGGTGCATGAAGTAAGACATGAGTTAATTTTCTCCAGCATGTGACAGCATGTTTTCAGGTTTAAACACTATATCTTAGGAACGTCAGGAAGAAATGTCTCTTTAATTTGGAACTTGATGAAGTGAGTAGAATTTGGGGCTCAGAGGTCACTGTGACTTCACAAAACCATTTTACTATAGGAGAAAGTCATTCTATTTTGGACAGACATGGATGTAAACTGCAATTTGACTGGCTGGCAGAGGCCATGTGTTAAATTCATATTTTTACCAGGTGACTTTTAATTTCTGCCTGCAAACCCCCTCCCTTCCTGAAAAAGAACCAACAACAAATGTTGTTTACTGATTTTTTTTTTAAGGCCTTTAAAACAAAACCTTTTTTCAACTGTTCTTAAAACACATGGGGGGTAAAACAAATAGACTTAAATGGATCACATAGTTTTCACTGATGAAGCTGAAAAATAAATAACATTTCAAAGAAAATGTTACACTGATTACTGACAGAAGTGGGGTGAACATTATTCTCAGTAGATATAACAGCAACACAGTGACTGTGTGCAGGTTCTGTAGTCTTGAATTGAACCGTTAAAAATGTGCATCCAGAGCCTCACTGACTCACCGGGGAAAATCCGGGTGTTCAACAAAGAAAATCCCAGGACCGTCAGGCACAACCTTCTGGACGGAGGTGATCTCTAACAACAAAGAAAAGGAACACAAAATAAGTATGATGGAGAAACGGTGTGCTGCAGTACATTTAGACACACCTTTCAGGCTGTTCTTCTCATCGTTCCCGTAGACCATGTTGTCGTGGTTCTTCTGGAGCTCTGCCTTCCTCTCCGCCAGTTGATTCAGTTTGTCATCAATGCTGTCAATCTCATGCTGATACGAGTCACCCTCCTCTAGGAAAATAAAAAAAGTGACTCGCATGAGATAGCATAGCTGATTATGTAATATTCAGAATATGTGAGATAGCTACTTCATTCTCCTGTTGCAAATACTTATAGACATTTATTTCATGCTCATTTATACATCACCTGGCTGTTCACGTTGAACACGATTCTTCAACTCCTGAAATATGCACTGGAGTTTTTTCCTCTCCAGAAGTTGTTGTCTCTTGAGTGAAAGGTGTTTGAGCTCTGTGGAAATCTTGTTCAGCTCGCTGTCTAAAGAAGTCATGGTGGAGGCTGAAAGACATGAGCAATTGTTGGACTTTTTTTAACAAAGGACTGATATTTGGTTAATGCATTTGAAGTGCAAAACTCCTCAAAATGTAGCAGACATTTTTTAGGTTTTGCAGTGAGAATGCTCAATGGCACTACCTAAAATATATTAATCCGTCACCCAGTTTTTGTCCAATGACATCTTCTCAAAATAAAGAACAAGTTAGAACATATTGATTATCTACTAAATCGTAGGATCTATTTTGAAAAATATGTTTGCAGGTATCCTTTGCTTATTTATCTTCCATGTGACAATTGAACCACACCCATGAAAATGTTAGCAGACCAAACGTTTGTAATCAAAGACTGCAGTTGATACCCAATAATAGAAATGTGCTAAACCATTGACACAATGTTGCCGTGCAGCTCGGAATGTCAACGATACAGAATACATTTACATTAGACAAACTGCTTATGATCAAAGGTCGACTGAAAAACACTGCTAACTCAGTGTCCGTTAGCTCTACTACATTTCATATTAATGCTATGTTAAATGCATTTTAAAAGTAGTGGTAATTAATAAGATATACTAAATATTGATCAAACATTGCTTTTCCTTCAAAAAACAAGACGGTGGTAGGAAAAGAAAAAAATGTACAAGACTAATTCTGGTTTGAGCAAGCAAAAGTAAAATAATAATAATTAGTAGATAAAATGCACTATACTCACTACTACACTATATACCATTTAACTACTATCTTCATACAGTTAATATCATTACAACTCAGTTGAAGATAATATTATATTAAAGAGAATAATGTATGTGTTACCTATTTCATCAGCTGCTCCCAGTGTCTCTCGTACAGTTAATATTCAAACCAGGTCAACAAAGGCTGGCAGTGTTTACTCATACCAGGAAATATTCAAATCCTCAGTTCACAGCTGACCTCTCTGGAAAATGTTACAGAATGCTCTTGTTGTCATGAAAGTAAAACACCAACACACTTTCATATAATGTTTGTAGAAAACTTTACAAAATCACAACTCAAGATGTATTTACATGTAGCCTCTTCAAGAAGCGTGCTCATTTTATACTAAGATGTCCCGACTGCCTCAAGCAAGTCGTACTCATGAGAACTTTGTGAAAGTCACTTGATGTCTGCGTGGCAGGGGGTCCCAGCACACACTGCAGGAACTTTGTCTTTCGCCTGACGTTTCGAGCGTTGGGTGGGTCGCTTCACTTTTTCCTGAGTCTCTTCATGAACGTCACTTCATCCCTGTTTCGGATCCCGTAGCTGAACAGAGAAACAAAGTCAAACGGTGCAGCAGATGATAACACGTGACAGAGGGGATTATTTCATGCACTTACTCCTTAAGCCTCATCTTGTCATCGTCAAGCTTTTCCCCTTGAAATATTAACAGAAAGGTTCTCCACACATATCTCCTGTAAAACAAAGAGAGTGGCTTTTGGTTTGGCTTTTTCCTTAATTTAAAATCTCTTCTATGGTTTAGTGTTTGTGAGCATGTTTACCAGCTGACTTGTTTCACTCCGCCTTCACGCTGTTGTTTCAGCTCCATGAATCTGCGGATGGCCTTCTTCAGATCCAGGACGGTTGCATTTTGCACCACAACTATCGCTAAGGGAGGAACGTTTATTTTGTAGATGGTTAATAAAAAGAAAAAAGACAGACGTAGTAAATGTTTAAATGCAACTTGTGGAGTTATGTTACAAAAAAATGGTAATTGTTATGTGATCAAAAACACATAGTGTATATTGAACTAGTTTTCAGTACTTTGACCAAAGTCATATTTAGAATTCAGCAAAACACTCAACACTTACGCATAATCTCTCCGTCAGCCTTTACAACCCTGACTGTCATGGCTTGGCCGTACTCCAAAGCGATCTGCGAATTAACCTCCTCCAAAGTTACCTATAGATAAAGATGATCAGGTTTCAGGAAAAAATTCAAAGACAATTTACAAGTTTGCCCAATAATCAAAAGAATATGACACTATGACCTGGAAAAACGTTGGCCTGGAAAATAAAAATAAAAAATAAACTTTGACCTCAATTAAATTGTATTTATCTTTCACTCTTCCAGAAATACATGATTTGAGGGGTGTACTCTTAGAATGTGTGGTTTGACATTCAATGGAAACAGTTGGAATTAAATTTGACCAATTAAAGGTCCCTGTTCCCCCTCAACTTCCTGATCCTCAACTTCCTGATCCTCAACTTCCTGATCCTGTTGCTGCGGTCCTGTGTCCTGGATCCTCTATCCTGAGTTCTGGATCTGAGTCCTGGACTTCGAGTCATGGCTGAACCTGTCTCTGTGGTCCTGCCTGACTTTCATCATACTACTTCCCTGATGGCTTCCACAGGATTGTTGACATCCGCGTGGATTCATCTTCTTATTATAGACACATGCATTTCCAAACATTTGGTCTACCTATGTTGTAAATGTATTATCTCTTCGATTTACACACGGCATCTATTGCACGTCTGTCCGTCCTGGGAGAGGGATCCCTCCTCTGTTGCTCTCCCTGAGGTTTCTCCCATTTTTCCCTTTAAACTGTGGGTTTTCTCTGGAAGTTTTTCCTTGTACGATGTGAGGGTCTAAGGACAGAGGGTGTCGTATTGTCATACTGATATTCTGTACAAACTGTGAAGACCACTGAGACAAATGTAACATTTAGTGATATTGGGCTATATAAATAAACATTGATTGATTGATTGAACTTGAGCACCTGCCCCCCAAAAAGTCTGTGCTCGTCCCTGTGTAATACAGACACACAGACCTGAATTGGCAGATCACAGAGTAAAGGGTCCTGAACAAGTTGAGCAAGACCCTCCTCAAATATGTCCAGGATCTCTGGGTGAGGAAGAGTCTCCTCGTCTTCCTCCTCTTCTTCTTCGTCTAAATCTGCCATCTCGGTCACATTCTCTTTTTCCACATCTTCCTCTTTTACAGACAGTCCTCCTCCAGGAGTTTCCTCACTCTGCTCCTCCGTCATAAACATAATTCAACTGGCCTGTTTGTCAGGATAGCAAAACTATAAAATGAGAAAACTAAGTAAGAGTAAATAAAATGTACCGTAGGACTACAATTTGTCAAAGACAGCTGGAAAAACATTGTTAAATTTGAATTATTTTTGCTTCAAAAAAGCCATGAAATAAACAAACGGTGTGCTGAAATGACATACCGTAAGGAAACCGCAGCTCAGGTCAAATGGTTCCCCCTAAGTGGACTTAAATTCAGACTCTTCTTAACGGTTTTTTTAAACGACAAAATGTTTATGTTCATTAATGTTTGTTTAAAAGTGATAGTTATTTGGGATGTGGTTGTTTAATTATTATAAAGTCAGTGCCACATTCATTATAATTCGTTTCCAAACGACCGATAATACGAGTAGCACCAGCTTCACTTCCGCTGATCCACATGCACCAGTGTACACAAGTGACACTAAAGCAGTAAGCTAGTTGTGTACAAAACCATACTTATTGAGTTTGTTGGTTTAGTGTTTAGCTACATTTATGTGTGGGGAACATGCTTCTCTTTTGTCCAACCTGCGGGAATGTTTTAATTGTCGAGGAAGGACAGAAGTGCATGAGATTCGCCTGCAACACCTGTCCGTATGTTCACAACATCACAAGAAAGGTGAGTTATGTTCGAATGAAATGTCACGCGACACATCATGTCATTTCTAGTTATCAAATATTAGTTAAATCAAAAGGCCTTCCTAGCTTGGAAGTAACGTGTCATGTAACTTTTCCTCGACATACTCCACTAAGATATTTTCGACAATCTACCCTAAGACTTTAGTTTGCATACTATACTATGGCTTTTTCTCTTATTTTTCGACATACTGAACTATTCATTTTTTCGTATTTTCGTCATTCTGTATACAATGACTTGTTTTCTTAGTTTCGACAAACTATGCCATGACTTTTTTCCAACATAATATGCTGTGACATTTTAAAATATGTTTGGCATAGTATGCTGTGACTTTTCTAGAAACACCATACAATTACCTTTTATTTTAATTTGTTGTAAGTAATAGTGCCAATTTATTTGTAAATGTTTCAATTTTCGAAATACTATAGGCCTAGTATCTCTTTTTGTGTGCATATTTTCGACATACTATGTCGATTTTTCAGATTCTATTAGATTTTATTTGAATATTTAAACATGCTATATGTATACTGTTTATTTTTTTTTGCATATTTCTGACATACTATACTTTTTTTGCATATTTTGCTATGTGTTTTTTTATTTATTTTCGACAAACTATACCATGACTTTTTTCAACTTATACTTGTACAGTTATTATTTTATACTTGTACAGTCTAGAAGGCCTTATTTTATCGTTGCATGACATTTTGACCACACTTTGCTAAGATGTATTTGTTCATAAAGATGGTACTGATGGCTCACACGTGGCTGTGTTTTTCTACAGGTCAATTACAGGAACTTTCCCAAGCTCAAAGAGGTGGATGATGTTCTTGGTGGCGCTGCAGCTTGGGAAAACGTTGACTCAACTCCTGGTAAGTGACATGAAAACGAGCCACAGTATTAAGGCTTTAGTTGATGATTATACCAGAGACCAGGGGCCTCATTTATAAAGGGATATACGCTAAAAGATGGCGTACGCCAGTTTCTACGCAATGTTTGCGATTTATAAAATACTAACTTGACGGGAAAACGTGCGGTCCTCCACGCAAACTCTAACCCATGCGTACGCACTAAGCACAAAAACGGGAGGGACGAGAAACTGCGACACCGTTGGCAGAAGGAAGAATGGAGAGAAATATGTGGAAATAATACCATAAATAAAATGTTACCTCTCATTTATCATATATGAAGAATTCATTTTCAAACATTGATTAAAGCCAATCTTAAAATGATTAAACAAACGCCTGTTTGAGACTCCTCAGTGCACACAAAAACATAACTTGGAGAAATAAATAAATACGGATATGTTATTGAAAACCACCTCGAATATGTTGTGTTAATGTTATGAAACGTTTTCTCATAAATGATGCGGTAAGCAGGAGGACAGAATTACGTCTAAACTGAGGCCGTTGTGCTTTTCTATAGGTTGTAGATACGAGCATGGTTTTATATACTATCACGTTTAATCGTGTTTTATGCCGTTTGCCAAGACTTGATAAGTCGCTCGTAAAACACAGCAGGTATGGAAACTAGGAACACCATATGTGGTCAATTGTACAGCTGATATAACACAACACATTAGTTGTATTTCCTTTAACTGGTGGATATAGGGTTGCTGGGGGGGGGGGGGGGGGGGGTTGAGACCACAGGCTGCTGTGGAGACGCTGCGCACAGCTGATCGACAGCTGGGACACAAATCACCAAATACAAAAACATAATTCAGATCCAGTCGTCATGACTCCACTCCGGAGGGATTCCCTGTTCACTTCTTACAGTCTCTCATCAAGGGGGGGTCTCCTGTCCCCGGTACACACTGCCTGAGGAAGGCTATGTGTATTGTTTTTGTCATGAACCTTTTTCGGACCACTTGTTTATTTATTTTGGTGACGATCCGACCTCCATGCTGCTACTCTGGTTCAAACGGCATCCACCAAACAATATGATTTATCTCGACCTCCCCAAAATAACCCAAATCTTGCACGGTGTGAGATGTCTTTTTTAGCTGTTCTGTCGTCATTTCCTGCGATCTTCTTCATAAAGTCAGTCTGAATGAATGAATGAATGAATGAATGAATGGGCGTTTCTTTAACTATTTATAGGCAAATATGGGCGTTACGTGAAGCCCGCAAAAGCTGCACCGCATTTCGAGTCGGTTGTGATTTATAAAGGGAAGCCGGCGTAGGAAGTGCTGTACGCACTTTCCTCGCCGGTGCGCAATGTTTGGTGAATCAGAAAATGTCGGAACATTTCTTTACCTATTTTTTGGATTTCTACTACGTAAGCAACCTTCCCACGTGAATCCTACGCACGGCGTTATAAATGAGGCCCCTGGGCCGTATCTCATTTCTGAGATTCCCCTCCTCGACTACTATCCTCGAGACTTAGTCCCGCCCACAGGAGATGCGAGCGGAGGACTGAGGAGGGGAACCGAAGAGAGAGGAGGGGAAGCAGCAGGTGGTTAGAGAAATGAGAACTCCTCTCCTCTGAGCGGTCATTTTAAAGAGACGTCCATTAATGATGACAGGAGGCACAGCAGCCCTCTGTCTGATGGACAGATGTGTTCATGATGACTTATATATTTACTTTTAATTCATTCACAGTGCGGTATAATGAGACAATAACAGGCTACAGGTGCGGACACACACACATACAGTATATATGTATATATTTATATAAATATATACAATTTCAGAATCAAACAAGTATGAGAGCACTCTCATAATAACGTAATACTACCAGAGACTGATAGTCTCTGGTCGCTACAATGAGGAAAATAAATTACGGGCCAAAAGTTGTATTTACAAGTATTAAAAGTAAGCAGAGGACACCAAACCAACTGAGACCTGTCTGTCCGCTGCATCTACGCACACACACTGTACCACACACACCTACACACTGTACCACACACACCTACACACTGTACCACACACACTGTACCACACACACCTACACACTGTACCACACACACTGTACCACACACACCTACACACTGTACCACACACACTGTACCACACACACCTACACACTGTACCACACACACTGTACCACACACACCTACACACTGTACCACACACACTGTACCACACACACCTACACACTGTACCACACACACCTACACACTGTACCACCACACACTGTACCACACACACCTACACACTGTACCACACACACTGTACCCACACACACCTACACACTGTACCACACACACCTACACACTGTACCACACACACACACTGTACCACACACACACCTACAGCTCCTAAACTTTAAGCATATGATCAGGCTACAGCCGTTGTGTATTTTATTATGTGAAGCACTAAATGGTTTTAGAAAAAGATCTACTAAACTAAAGCAAATAAAGAGATTAATGTAGGCCTGTTATACTGAGTGATATATATTATACACACTGCTCTGCTTTCTGCACAGACCTCACAGCTGTTCTCACTGTAAACATTGCGTTGCGATGAAAGCAGTTAATAAAATAATATCCAGGGGATGCATGCAGAGCTGTCATTGGCTGAGATAAGTCCGGCCGTGCATCACGACTCTTTTAAACATCACTGTTGCCGGAAATGCATCCGTGGAGGACCCATCAGTGTCTCCTCAGTCAGAGCTCCTCCAGAGAGCCTCCTCGATGCTCGAAGTGCATTTAGAGAAATGAGATGTCCTTCAACATGGCGCGCTGAAATTCATTTCCGGGTCACTACCGGAACCGGACCGAGGAGTCGAGGAGGGGGAATCTTTGAAATGAGATACGGCCCAGTAATCTTAGATCTGTTGTCTGCCACCTCCAAAACCCTGCATGTTCTCTGTTACATGATGGCTTTGCTTTTTATTATTGTTTAAAGCTGTCATTCCCACATGTCCTCGCTGACAATGTTTTACTCTTTCAGATTGTTTTCTTTGTAGCACATGACATTCATACGTGTGGCCTGGGCTTTTATGTGTTTTCTTGAATTGAATACATAACATTTCTAGTCAAATCTCAGAACCAATTCATCTCTTCCAATTGGAAATGCTGTTATTTGTAATCAAATATGTAATAGAATAAATCAAATGTGCATACACACAGATTTGGAGACGATCTTGTTTTAATCTTAATATTTAGATTGTATCGTCTCAAACCTGTCTTCTCTTGTACACAGTGGCTCCAGTAACTCGGGTGTGGAGTGATTCCAGACTGATGTTTCATTGTGCTTGTATCACTTTACAGAAACGTGTCCAAAGTGTGGGCATTTGCGGGCGTATTTCATGCAGATTCAGACCAGATCAGCTGATGAACCGATGACGACCTTCTACAAATGCTGCCAAGCCCAGTGTGGACACAGATGGAGAGACTGAAGGATTAGCACTTTGGAAATTGTATTTAATATAAAAATGATGTTTATTTGGCAAAGATACTACCTTCAGACGTAGTTGTGTAAGCCTATATCTATTGTTAACAGGCTCTGGTAGTTGGGGCATTCTTCTGATGATTCCCATTTACTGTGTGTTTGCAGGTGAGATGTACATACATGTTTTACTTTGCACACATAGTTCAAACAACATTAAAATGAGTTTCATCAATCATCATGTTCTGATTTTTATTGATAAAATAGTACCTGTATACAACAGTCAAACAAATGTTGACATAGTTATACATATCACAGACATTTAGAGAGCAGTGCAGACCAGCATTATGCACAAGAATGGCATACAGTACTGCGTATTAAAAGTTCAATACAATCCTTCAAATCAAAATTCACTTTCTCGCACAGTTTAGCTAGCCTCAAGAAGAAGAAGAAGAATCCAATGCACATAGAGTCCAGGAACTAGCCAGTGACAATTCTTTGTTTTGAGGTGTGGCTCATGCAGACAAACTGCACATTGTGAGAGAAGGTGGTGGGCAGATTGAGCATGCTGTGGTGGGCACACGATGGATGTTCCATTGTTAGTCATCTCTATGGAATCACATTGTTATGTTGCAGGATATCTGATACAATCATTTATTAGAAGCTTATTCCTAACAGAGATGTTCACTATCTAGTATTAGTCAAAATACCTCGGTATTTGTTTTCTAACATGCATCTGAACAATGCAGGTAATCTTAAGGGCTGATGCCATTACTAGGAGGGTTACAGGCTAAACATGTGATGATGATGAGGATGGTGCCACCACGGTCATTTGTTTGCCAACATGGTCTTAGAGGACGTAAGATTGCCAAGATGCCATGCAGTGTGTCTCGTTAAGTAACAGTACACCTCTTGTTGGCTCTACCTAAAGTCTACCTAAATATGACCCTGCTCTTACTCGTGAGATGACGCTGTGAATCCTCAAATCTCTCAAACACTAACGAGGTGGATGAATGCATCAGAGGGCAACTTAAAGTGCAAATGTTTGATTTACTATCAAATAAGTACATAATGGACAGAGGGCAGGACAGTGAATCACTAAATATGTGACGACTGACTGAAAGCCCAGAAGATTATTAAGTATAGAACGTAACATGAATCTTGGGCATTCCTAAACAAGCAAATACATCCGTTTAAAATGGTTCGTTAGTTTGCTCACATTCAGTACGGGATAATGATTAAAAGGAAAACACTAGGTTTGTTAGAGCAAAGATCGGACATAGACAAACATGTTATCAATATTAACATGTTAAGCTAGTGGATAAAATATCTGAAATAAATACAGGGAAAAAACAACAAAGCTAACCCAGCATGTTCGACTTCAATACGTTTGCTTCTCAGCAAGATTCACAGATGAATTGAATAAATAAAGTGACCATTTTCACAGCTTTCACTAACTGACCGTTTCTACCCAGTATCTTCTGCCATTCACATGCGTAACTTCACTAGCCTTTTCTTCAGGTGTCTATACAGGACCAGATGCACCAATGGGCCTGCTGCTTATCCACCTCTGCGGAGATCTAAGTGTCCTACAAGATGTAGGACACTTAAATATCCGCAGAGGTGGATAAGGTGAGGTGAGATTTGTACATTTTAAATGCATGTTTTTTACATGAAAGAGTTATGCTGAAATATATATATACAGTAAATACTCTGTGAGCTAATGAGAAAACTGCACTTACAATTTAAGAGGGCTTCACAACACTTTGCAAAAATGGAGGGGAAAGCCTGTTACTACCAGCAGGAGGAAGAGCTGTGTGTGTGTGTGTGTGTGTGTGTGTGTGTGTGTGTGTGTGTGTGTGTGTGTGTGTGTGTGTGTGTGTGTGCGCGCATCTCTGTTGCATACTGCTGTCGGTGGTTAGCATATACGCTTGAATGTGTAAATGTAGCCCTTACAGTACGGGCAGGTGTGTGTCACATCCTTCAGGTCGTCAATCAGACAGGGAATCAAGCAGCAGCCCAGATCACACCTGGGGGGGGGAAATGGCAAATTAAGACACCTGCATATGATTGTTGATGTTAAGTCCAATGAAATCAAAGGTTTCTGCTGAACATGCAGGATTCAGCAGAACTTGTGATAAGAGCAACTTCAGTAACTCTAATAGCCTGTGTATGTTCTGCATTCATGAGGACAGCTTCTGTTAAACATGTTATAAATGAAGTGTAGATACAAAACTATAGGGATCCTACTCAAATACAGGTCTGTGCGCAAAATACAAAATAGGAATTGTGAAACTGTCCCCACCAGATGTCTGTTCCTTTAGTCTAGAACAGAAACGGTATTTGCATGTGCCAAACCATAAAGTGGTGCACTGGCTTTGCATGCAGACGGGTTACTGAGAACAGGCAGAGTGAACAGTTCAAAGGCATCCTTCGGAGTTTGAGCAACGTTAGTCACAGAGTCCATCAACGGGGAAATTGGGAACTATTTTGAAAATCGATAAATTGTTAGATGTTCATGAAGATGCTGTATTTCTAGCATATGGAGGTTTCCGGTTTCTAAAAGTTAGAGACATTGTCTTTGACTTTTAGAAAATGGAAAGGGCATTTTTCAGTATTTTCTGGCATTTTGTAGACAATAAAACAATCGATACATTACATACACTTATATGATTGTGTTTTCTTCAAGGTCGTATCTTCCTGGTCCAATGTACTTATAGTAAGTCGCTTTGGATAAAAGCGTCAGCTAAATGTAATGTAATGTCATTTATAAAACAATCGTAGTTGCAGCCCTACTTTCTGACACATAGTAATTTTGCATACTTTAAATCAAAGTGTTTATCAATTTAGGTTTTAATAAAACCCAATGACAAGCTTGAGGTTCTGACTCAATGATATGAATAAGTGTAATGTTTGAAACACCCAGAAGGCATTCGTTCGCCCAGCCATGAAATCCCTTCATTATTTCACTCTTTCAAAAGAAGTCCTAAGTGATACCTATTCAACAAAGGCCTTCCAAGGATGCAAACAGGTGCTCTTAGGTGCCTTTAATCAGTCTTCTACTCACCCTACAAAGAAGCAGAAGAGGCAGAAGAGTGTGTTCATGAGGCCCACATCGTGGGAGATGCGGGTGACGATGGCCTGCTGACAGTGCGGACACACAGTCTGCACCGGGGAGGTCTGGAACATCTCCCCCTGCAGGACGGTCACAGTGGTGGCAGCTCCAGGAGGAGCCAGGACGGTGGCTGTGTGCCCCCCCATGTGGACAAAGTGACTGGGACCAGGGCCCATGGGTCCCGGCATCGGAAAGTGACCGGGCGGGTAGTGGCCACCTGTACAGGAGGAAGCAGCACTTAATATACTGCATCAGCATTTTCCTGATAATTGTGCAATGGTAATAATGCCAAGACCAAACAACCATTCCCAGCTTTATAATTACTCTGAGGCAAAGTTGTTGGAAGCCTATCGGTTACAAAGGTTTAGTAATGATCGACATGCTGACAGATTCTGCGGTTTTTCTTTTTTAGACCAGGGAATATTTAGTTTAACACTAGAACCGCCAACGGGTACATTTTACCCGCAGCTGTTTTTTGATTGTATGTAACTTTATTTCAATAACATATTAAAGTCTCCCAGTCCGTGACTTTTCCTGAAAGTGTGTTATGTAGCACCCTCTGTTGTTAACAATTGTCAATATGAAGTCAGATTGAAAAAATGCCATTTATACCCATATCCGCCAGCGGGTAATATTTACCTCATAGAAAATGCAGCGTAAACATGACGTGTTGCTATAGCAACGCCTTTTGTCTACTGCGGTTCCTTATAGATAGAGAGATAGATTGAGAGAGAGGGATAGATAGATGGATACATTGATAGATAGATAGAGAGAGAGATAGACAGATAGATAGTTATAGATAGTGTAACATCTTGGAGAATACAAGATCTTGGATGACTGAGCTCACGTTGAGGACGTAATGCATGTGTGCAGGTTACGTGCCAGTTGAATAAAGATGGACTCGGAATGAGAGAAGTAGTCCGGGTCGTCTGTTTATGTAGACAATTATATGTCCATAGAACAGAACATTACGGATAGATCGATAGATAGTTATAGATAGATAGAGAGAGATAGAGAGAGAGAGAGATTTGTACCTAAACAAAACACAAGTCTAACACCAAGCATTTAAATCAGCACCCTTAGCGATATTTTATACTTCATGTTATCTGCACAAACTATGTCATATGAAAAGCTGAGAGTCCACAGATTCTATTGGTATACGTTTCATCCCTGTGCGATCAAAACTCACTGTTCTGTATGATAAATAAAAGAACATTGTACCTTGAAAATCAATAGCGGGTACATTTGACCCGTTGGCGGTTTTAGGTATACAGCGACCTCTGGCGGTTCTAGTGTTAAACAGATTGGTGGAGTTGGCTTCATGGTTTTCCTTAAAGTTTGCTGAGATGTACACAAGTTCTACTTCTTTATGGTGTTCTTTCCAACTGTGAGTACGAGGCAAGCATTCATTAAGTCAGAGCTGCATTTCATGTTTGCTCATGTGAACAGTGGTTCATGTGGATTTGGGAAAAATGTACTGACAAATGTCTGTATGATAGACCTGCTTTAAATGTGATGATCCAGTTTGCTGTAGTGTAACCTTGAAGAATCAGTTAATGGTCAATTCATTAAATGCAGATTCATTTGTGCTGAACATTACATCAAGTGTGTTTACGATGTTTTTGTATGTAGCAAACTGTCTGCAGCACCTTGGGGTAGAGGCATGGGCATGGGCATGGGTCCGTCTCCAGGAACATGGGGGGGCAGGAAGCCGGGGTTTGTGGCCTCATAGGGTGGAGGGCCATAGTCTGGAGGTAAGGGCTGTCCCTGTATAGGAGCATTCCTCAAAGGAACTGCAAAGATAACACAAAGGGGAAAAAAGGTATTAAGTTGATAGGATGGCAAATCAGAAGTTTTAACAAACTCAGAGACTAGTATTAAAATCTCCATGGTGACATCTGATTCAAGTCACAACGATTTAAATGTGGCTACACACTGCATCTGTGCCTGTTAACATTCACCACAATCCTGCGTGCTTGGTTTTATTACCAGGTTGTCCATTCTTCTCCTCAAGGAGGGGGGCGCTGGGACCCCCAGGGTACGGAGGAGGAGGATCACTGGACATTCTGGCCGGATGTATGTATAGGGAAAGGGGTTGGACACGGTGCTCCCCTCACAACTCTTTATTCTGTGAGAAGAAGAAAAACACATGCCCAGTTTGAGTCCCGCGGCTCATTACTCTCTGACACAGACTCCTCCCAGGCAGGCAGAGAGGCTGATGAAGTACTCTGTGTAACTGCTGATGTCAGTCTGCAAATAAAGCAACCGAGTAAAACGCAGTGACATTTTGATCAGCGTTGTGATGCCCTGGTTGATTGGAACACCCTCTACTATCATTGATTTGTGAAAATGACAATGTAAAGCCTTTCAAAACTGCGCTTTAAAAATGATTACAAACTAAGACAAAAATGATGGCTTGGCTGCAGAGAGCTACAGGTACATCAGAACATTACATAACAGAGCATTGTGAAACTGCATGCCCTGGGGGAGAACATGTGTAAGTGAGGGGAACAGGAAGGGGCTCTTTCAGTTTCTTCACGGTTAGTGACGCAAGGCATTTCCTTTTTCAAAAGGTAGCCAAACAGGAAAGTGTAGATTGTAACACAGTTACAGTTTGTGTGTAAACTGTAAAAGTAGAATTACAGATTAACACCTGCATACAGTGAAGAACAACAGGCCTGAAATAAATACTACCTTTGTGAAAAATCACTATCACTTTCATTTAGACTAAATGTTGCTGCTTTTCTGTGGTTTATTATTGCTGCTAATACGGAACAACACATTACCTGCTTCCAAAAGAAAGATCCCGCCTGAGGAATCTGGCAAATGCACTTGGACCTGTAATATGACAACAATGTAAAAAATTGCATTAATAACAATGTCACAAAAGAGGCTGCGTTGCCCAACATCTGAGTGCTTCTATATGGGCCTTAACATTCAAGTATTCCATCTATAAATGAACTGTTTTCTCCGAAGAAAACAAGTTATTTAGCACAAAATCCATGTGTTCTTCCTTCGTAAGTCCTCCAGCTTTCATTTGCATAACATTTCCTGAAACTGATCAACAAACAAATCAAAAAATTAAATATTAGACGTTTGGGGCGGTGGTGGCGAAGTCGATAGGGACTTGGCTTGGCAACTGGAAGGTCACCAGTTCAAGTCCCCGGCAAGACCAAGTGCTACCGAGGTGTCCCTGAGCAAGGCACCGTTCCCCACACTGCTCCCCGGACGCCGTTCAAAATGGCAGCACACTGCTCCTAACACTAGGATGGGTCAAATGCAGAGAAACTATTTCCCCACGAGGATTAATAAAGTATATCAAATCATCTGGACAGGTTGACACTGAGAGACAAAAAAGATCTTCTGTAAAAATATCACTCCAAAAAAAGCTACATAAATTGCTAATGCAATGAAATAAGAAGTGATGAGATGGATAGATGTCATTCAAAGTCACTTCTTTGGATATGATCAAAATCGTATTCTTGAAGAACATGTTTTTTCTTCAGCTGATTATGGTATTGTTGTGTTACTAAAACATATCTAATAAACCAATAACTGCTTACTACTCAAGTTGATCACTTCAATACACAGTGGCGTCATTTCTGGCGCAATAATAGAGAGAATAGAGAGAAGCAAAAGCTGGTGAATCATTGTTTGGAGGGGAATTGCAAGGGCATTTATCACTCAGTGTTCTCTCAGAGAGATTGAAGTATATATATTTCAAATCTCAATCATTTCAGAAATGACCTAAGTCCTCTATCAAATGGGCCAGAGCCCAAGACTGCAGAGCTGCCTCCTGGGCTCTGGAAATAACCAGCTGAGAGAAACCAAAAAGAGGAACACCATTGCACAAGACTTTATGAAGCTACCTTTTTGTAGGACAATAAATGAACCCTTATTCAAATGTGCTGGGAGTCATTTCTCATAAATTAACGCCAATGCTTCTAAACTAACCTACTAGCTAACGTTAGCTAGCTGATGTTTGTTTTAATCCTTCCCAAGATAATCCAGCTCAAAGCTACTTGCACAACTAACCATGAATAACTTAGTGACGTAACGGGGGCTAGCTGTAAACAGCATGAATCTAGTGCAAACACCTCGCATTATCATTAACGTTAACATGGCTAACGTAACGCAGATAAGCGCAGTGGTGTTCGCATCACCAGTGTTGGCTTAAAGACACGTCTTAGGCCATTTGTCTAACCCGGCTTTTAAAAATAGGGTGAGAAAAAACACTGACAGCGAGCGTTTGTTTGTTCTCAGCTGGTCATTTGGAAGACAACAAGGGTGTACTTGTTCAGTCTGAGAAAACATGTTGGCTAGCCGTCGTTAGCTAGCTAGCGTCGCCATTCTAGACTGCAACAACTGACTGACTGACTGCCCCGAAACATGCCCGTTAAAAAGCTGAACGGCTGTCGCGTTATGAAACATAATATCTGGCCGTGACCGAAGTGATGCAGCTGTCATGGTGCTGAAAGACACATTACCTGCTTTAGAGAGACTCTGCCTGTCACCCGCGGTCCTTGCTGAAGTTGTTTGACGTTTGCAGCCCCGAGTCAACATCCGCTAGAACGGATTTACACCCACGTCATTAACTATGATGTAAACAGAAAGAGAATTGTTCAAACAAAATACATCTTCCTTGAATTGTTCTGTTTTGAGTTGAGTTGCATTAAATGATTACCTTAACATGTACATATTAAATAATACTAATGAAAAAATATCAAAACAACAACAACAAATACAAATGGATAAAGTCATTTATTTTGAATGTGTTCACCGGAAGTGTTAGTGTATCTCCGTTGACGCTAGCTTTAACATTTCTAGCAGGTGACGTTAGACTGGTTAAAATATTACAATCACAGTCATCAAACTGTTTAATCAATGCATCAATATGCTGTTATAGTCAAGCTAAACATGAATTTGATATGTTTTATATATGTTTTGTATAACGATTGTTTCGACCCCACTAAGTTTCTCTTAGAGAAGGCGTTGCACGTCACGTTCGTATAGTCTTAACTAAAAATTAAACGAGTTAGTCAGTGTTACTGTTTACTAAATCGAAAGTACTATTTTGCACAGTTATGCGTATATTTATAATAATCTAACTTCATTGTCTCCCTCTCTAACCCTCTGGAGTTGAGGTTTGGTTTGTTTAAAATGTTGCAGACTTGATATTAATGTTGTAGTCTAGTTGTGAGCTATGTTATTACAGTGCTTTAAAGTGACACAGAAATGTACAAATTACAACCTGGGCTGGGCTTTTCTTTTAAAATTGACAATTTATAGGCCTATGAATCATTGAAAATATGAAAAGTAATCTTATTAAATATTATTAACAGCTGTGGTTTTGTACAATTATCTTTAAAAAGAAGGTATGACTTAAATACATAAGCTTCTCTACATAATATATAAACACACTTTGCTACTAAACATAAAACATGCTAAATGTATTCACAGATTATGACTCCAGGTTTTTTTATATTAACCTTCAACAGTGTGTTATATTTCAAGTTTACAGTTGGTGGCAGTGTGCACCAAGCCGTCAGTAATCCAGGCATCCAGCCAACAGCTATATAACATGCACGAATCAAAGTCCAGAGTCCTGCTAATCTACCTGAGAGCTAACAGGTGTCCTGCTCTACTCTGATCTCTAGCATTTCTCTCACTGTTCTGAGTGATTCAGAAGTAACATGGAGCAGATCACAGACTATCTCTGCAGGTATAAAAACTACAACTTCGCTGTCGATTTCACAACTCCAGAGTACATTGATTCCCTCCAGAGCTTTGAAATAAGAGATAGTGACATATTCCTCGTCACTTATCCAAAGTCAGGTGAGTGAGAGGAACTCTTCATGACATAATTTGCATTTACAGTTGTGTGCATTGCTGGGAACAGATTTACTGATCAGGTGTGATGCACCCCCCCTTCAGGTACTATATGGACTCAACAGATCATCATCTCCATCTGCGACTTAGAAGGAGGTCTGAACAAATATCAAAACAACTTGGAGCAGATGCCCTGGCTGGAGTACAGGGAGTCTAGAGAGGATTACGCTCTTCGACCCTCTCCACGACTCTTTGCCTCTCACCTCACCCCGACTCTCTTACCTCCAGGACTAAAGGACAAGAAGGCAAAGGTCAGCATTTGATAGAGGGCCGAAACAATAATAAAATGTATAACCTTTTTTTTATTTGAAAAGATTGTGGTAAGGACCTCATTTACAAAACAATCCTAGGTATTAATAGAGAACATTTTTTTTTAAAAACAGCCACCAACTGTTTGATAAGGGCCAACATAAAAATACAGCAACGGAGTAGGTCATGTTATGTAAGGGACTAATTCCGCTTTTGTCTAAATGCTGAACTGCATTAGTATAGCATTGCATTAGTATACTCAGTGACAGAACAATAAATTAGAGTGTAATCAAATATTTCTAAGAAGTTTGCAAGATATATAGACAAAATGTTATAAGATGAATCTGAAAAAACTTGTTCCGGAAAAAGATTCTAGATATTTTCTGAAATATACGTCAGAATAAGGATGCTTGAACATTTTCCTTTTTTAACATTTTCCTTTTCGATTACTTCAAAAATCCAAGGTATCACTTAATCATGCATCTTTTCAATGGAGTTAGATCTGGAGGGGACAATAGTACATAGTCGTTTGATTGTGGACTGATTAATGTTTTGTTTAATGTCAGATTATCTACGTGATGCGGAATCCAAAGGACAACATCGTCTCTTATTACCACTTCTGTCTTAACTGTAGCGACCTGGAGACTCCCAAAAGCTTTGAGGACTTCTTTGAGCAGTATCTGACAGGCAAAGGTAAGACACCTCCACATCAGAGGCTGGAAGATGATGTTCAGAAAGGGACCCGGGCTGATAAATGCTAATTAAAACCATGTGATCATGACAATTTGAGAGAAAGATTGGAAAGAACCCTTAATCTTAAATAAAAAAAAGGTTTATATGTTTTCACTTGTTGAGATTATGTTGACAATACCTGCAGACACAGAAGTCTTGCTTGCAGACAAACTATACTATGATGATATTTTAATCAAAATGTTATAACATACTAAGAGAAATTAAATATTATATAATAGCCTATTTATATACATTTGTGACATATTTAACAACTGCTTTTAATGGGTTGGAAACCTTTATGAAATACAATCCCTTTAATTCATTGATAACATTTTAATGGAATACTTTATAATGACATTTTATAACATTTTCATGCAATAAATTAATTCACTAAACTTTACTATACATTTTTTAATGAGCTATTGTTTAGTTTTTTCATGGCATATTATATTGTGACTATTTACATTACATTTTTCTATTAAATACTTTTTCATGTCATACTAAACAATGTTTTTTAATGACTTTCTTGCTATAATATAATATGATTTTTCTATGACACCCATTTTTAAAACATACTATACAACAACATGTTGTCATCCCTTTCTGATGTCAAACTATACTATGACGTCTTTTAACATTCGTTTTACAATTGTTATCATTCATTGGGAAATTATTTATTATGTGCTAATGCTTTGAAATGCACATTACCTTTCTGGGATATCTAAAGTACATCTCCATTTTACAGTGGGAGCATCTTCCTGGTTTGACCACATCAGGGAGTGGCATTTAAAAAGAGACCAGTACGACATCCTCTTCCTGAGCTATGAGGACATGATTTTGGTACGATGGTCTTTGCTGTAATTGTAAAGTATTTTTGTGGGAGGAAGACATGCATTTCAAATCATTTTAGTTTTATGAAATAAAAGATCCGGTTAATTTAAAATATGGAAATAGATTACTAGTCAACGTTTTAACTTGTTTTTTCTCTTAAAGGATCTGAAGGCGGCAGTGACGAAGATCTGCACTTTCTTAGGGAAGAACCTGAGTGAAGCTGATATTGAGAAAGTTGTGGAAAAGTCTACTTTCAACAACATGAAGAAAGACTTGAGAGCAAACTACGAGTTTCTGCCACAAGAGAAGGTGAAGGCAGACTTCATGCGCAAAGGTAACGTAACCAGTGATGGAAGAAGTTATAGACTCTTTACTCAAAGTAAACATATAAATACTATGATCCTAAAATACTCCATTACAAATAATTGAAAATGTCACTTAATTAGAAGTACATAAGGGGGATCAAATTAATGTACTTCAAGTATCAAAAGAAAAGTACTCAGTGTTCAGATTGGCTATTTTCATAGTCTTATAGAATATAGATTAGTTTTAATCGCCAACATTTACATGTTATATTATTGTAATTGTATGAGCCCATTTCAGGTACAGTGCGGCATCATATTATATAGGCAAATGATGTGTTTTTATTTGTATAAAGTAGCTATTTCCTATGAGTTTTTAATAAAGTCAATACTTGCCTCCAAAATGTAGTGAAGTATGTGTAGAATAAAACGGGAATTCTCAAATAAAGCAGAGGAATATCAAAAATAATTCTTAAGTAAATAAATAAATAAAAGATAAATGTCAGCATTGATTATAATGTAACTGCAGCTCTTGTGCAGACAGATATAATAATTTTTTTATAAGTATTTTCTTTTTTTACAGGTAAGATCGGTGACTGGAAGAACACCTTAAGCGCCGCTCAGAGTCAAAGAGTGGATCAACTGCTGCAGGAGAGACTCAGTGATTTGTCTCTGAACTTCATCTGGGAGTAAGAAGAGTTGCAGAGGTTTTTAATTCTGCAATATCTTGTAAAATGTATATTATAATAACAACTTCGACAGGTGTTGTTAATGTGTAACTGTTGATATGTGTCACAATAATGCTTTATAACCCCTGCTTGGACTTCTGTACTGGAAAAATAAAACAGCAATAAAGTGTTGGAGTCGACACCACATTTCAGTTCTCTTCATCTAGAATTAGAGAAAGGAAGACAGTTTTATATCAGTAAGCAAAATAAGATTAATATGACCCCGGAAGGTGTGTAAGCTATCTGCTGTCCTGATGTCAATGGGGAGCTCATTCCACCATTTTGGAGCCAGGACAGCAAACCTACCTGTTTTTGCTGATGGGAACTTGGGTCCCCCTCGCAGCGAGGGTGCAGCGAGTCGTTTGGCTGATGCAGAGCGTAGTGCACGCGCTGGGGTGTACGGTTTAACCATGTCCTGGATGTAGGAAGGGCCAGATCCATTCGCAGCATGGTAAGCAAGTACCAGTGTCTTGAAGTGGATTCTAGCAGTTACCGGAAGCCAGTGAAGGGAGCGGAGGAGCGGAGTGGTGTGGGAGAATTTAGGAAGGTTGAAGACCAGACGAGCCGCTGCATTCTGGATGAGCTGCAGAGGTCGGATGGCACATGCAGGTAGACCAGCCAGGAGGGAGTTGCAGTAGTCTAGGCGTGAGGTGACGAGAGCCTGGACCAGAACCTGCGTGGCTTTCTGGGTCAGCATCCTCCTGATGTTGTAAAGCGTGTATCTGCAGCAGCGGGTTGTAGCAGCGATGTTTGCAGTGAAGGACAGGTTGTTATCTAGGGTCACACCCAGATTCCTTGCAGTCTGAGTTAGTGTGTGGGTGAAAGGAGGGTCTGGTGACCCAGCGGTGAGTAAAGGTGAGTCAGAAAAAGAAGAGCGAATATCATCAACCTTTTTTTCAAAGTGGTTAACAAAGTCGCTTGACAGAAGTGAGGAGGGGGGAGGGGCTTTGGGGAGGGTCCAAGAGGGTGGAGAAGATGGAAAATTGTTTAATGGGATTGGAATAGGAAGATTGGATCTTATCTTGAAAGAAAGTGCTTTTTGCCTGAGAGATCGAAGCAGAGAAAGAGGAGAGGAGAGCCTGATAGGTTAGGAGGTCGTCATGGTGTTTGGATTTCCACCGTTTCCGCTCTGCTGCCCTAAGGACGGTTCTATTAGCACGCAGTGCGTCATTTAGTCAGGGAGCAGGAGGGGACTGACGAGCCTGCCGAGATGTGAGAGGACAGAGAGAGTCCAGAGAGGATGAGAGAGTAGAGAGGAGAGTTTCTGCAGCAGAGTTTGGAGGCAGGAGTTGGAACGAGTCCGAGGAAGGGAGGGCTGAGAGCACCGACGAGGCAAAGGTAGAGGGGGAGAGGGAACGAAGGTTACGGCGGACAAGTGCAGGATGAGAAGAGATTAGTTTGTTATGTTTGGAAAGGGATAGAGAGAATGAAATGAAGAAGTGATCGGATGTGTGGAGCGGGTTTACAGAGAGGTTAGAAGTAGCGCAGTTCCTTGAGAATATGAGATCAAGGACATTGCCAGCTTTATGAGTCGGTGGGGACGGAGACAGTGAGAAAGCAAAGGCTGTTAACAGAGATGTTAGTTCGTCTATCTTCCCTGTCTGGAGGTTGAAGTCTCCGAGAAGTACAGCGGGAGGGCCAGTTTCAGGGATGTGTGAGAGGAGATGTTAATGTGTAATTATTGATATGCATCACGATAATGCTTCATAACCCCTTCTTGGACATTTGTACTGGAAAAATAAAACACTAAGAAACAAAGTGTTGGCCAATCTGTCTTTATTGAATGTCAAAGGTTAAATTGTGTTTGTGTATGATGTTGAATTGCTTCGGTCACTGTGTAGACGACACCACACTTCAGACCTCTTCATCTAGAACAAGAGAAAATAAAACAGTTTAATATCATTAAACAAAACAAGTTATATAAATGATCAGATTACTGCAGATCCAGATTGGATGTAATCTGGAAAGAGGAAACCTGCTTTGTGGAAGAGAAAAACATACCAGATATTGTACTAAAACAGGTTTATTTTACTCCAAGTAGCTTTTATAGATACAAAACAAATATGAAAATAATTAAAGCTAGGGCCAGATTAATGAATTAAATAAAAATGTTCCCTTCTACACAATCTCTATAATAGGTTTATGACCGAAGGATGGAACAATTTGACTACATAGGGTTACATTTTTCAAATACATTTAGCATTTGACTTCAGAATTACAATCCATCAGCCTGCTGCAGCTCAAACTGTAAAATAAACTACTTAACATGAGACACTAATGTAGCAATAGCAACTAAATCTCACCTTCTTCCTCCTCATCCTCTTCATCTTCCTCCTCCTCCTCCTCCTCATCAGAGCTGAAGGTCCCGTCAGGCAGGCTGTACACCCGAATCACTTGCTGTTAACAGAAGAAACACAGAATATCGACCCATTAGCTCAACAGGGAAAAGAAAGTTTGGGGCTCTCTGCTGGAACTGCTACCCCCGCGACCCGACCACGGATAAGCGGGAGAAGATGGATGGATGGATGGATAGCTCAACAGTGAACGATCATTTTAAAAAACAGGATGTTTTGATGAATCTTTGAGATGTAGCTCACCTTGTTGGGGTCCTTGAGGATGAGGTACTTGCCCTCGTCCAGCTTGCGGCAGATATCGATGACGCAGCGCAGGATGCCCCAGGCGTTCTCCATGCTCAGATTGATCTGGCTGGCAAACTCGTTGGGCTTGAACTGCTGCGTTCCCAGCACCACGTGACGGGCCGAGTCCTTAGCGTGGTACCGAGACACGTACCTGAAGGACAGAGAGGGAGGCAGTCAGTGCACGCTCTCACACACTATGGTCTGCTGAAGCTTGGGCTTATTGTCTCTATATAGTTAACTGAGTCCCTAAGACATTAGTTTGTATCATAGACGCAAAGCACAGGTATAGTGGTTTGTTTCAGGCAGTGTTTTTCTGATTTAATAACAATAAAACGTACAAATAAATGATGCTCTTCATTTATTTGCTAAATGTGTTTCCGTTGCACTTTGTCACATTGCTTTCATCCGTGCACCGACCTTTCCTACTCAGCTTAGCGCAATAAAAACATTTGATAGTTCAAGATTAGAACATTTTTGTATGTGCAAATTGAAATGTTCATAAGAGGCAAGAGGGAGGATATGCATACAGACTCCTCCATATATTCAGTAGGATAGAATGGTGTGTGTTCCTCACCCCAGTTTGAGGTACTCGGACCCGGCCAGCATGGCGCAGCAGGTCCAGCGGGCCAGCTTGTAGCTGTTGTTCTTCAGCTCAGTGGCCAGCACGGCTCCCCTCTGAGAGTCCAGCTTCTGACGCCAGTCCACCCCGTTACAGCTCTGAGGACGAGACGGAGCAGATACATCAGCAACAATTCAACTGACATTAATGCTTGATACTCTTGCTTCAAAGGATGAGTCAGGATTTCATTTCTTAACACAAGTTTTGGAAGTATCTTTATTATAAATATAACAAAAACACTTCTTATTTCACTAAAGAGCAGCTGGATTATTTCTTAATTGTCTTTTTACACAAGATTGTGGCAACCGTTTGTATTTGTTATAAGTATATCATAAGTCAGTCCTCAGTAATTAAGTCCTCCAACAGTGCGGACATCCTGGCACTTACTGGCCTCTTGCTTACTAATTCATATGGTACTTGTTTGTTGTGAAATAAACTAAACCAAAAGCAGCTCATGACTTTGCAAAAGACTTAAATCATGTCGAGACAAACAAATCCTCTGCTCCTGAAAGAACTCCCGCTGCCTCTTACCCTGGAGTCCCACTCGTTGAGGGTCTTGACGTTGAGGAAGGACACTTCTCCGTTGGCGCCGGTCATCACTCCGTCGTGCTCACAGCGGACGATCAGGTCGATGTCTTCCCCGAGCTTCCAGTGACGGTACCTAAAGAACAAAAAAGGAAGCCGTTATTACGTCCAATGACGTGTACATAGTGTACGTAAACATAGTTCATCTATCTTGCGTTCATACCTGTAGGCAACAGAGGCCACCTCACTCTTGTCCGTATCCTCCTCCACAAACGGGTTGGGGTTAGGAAACTTGTGCCTCTCTCCACCCTGGAGAAATGAAAACAGAACCCAGTTTAGTTATGTCTTTTTAAGGGATACAACTCCAAAACAATACATCTAAATATTAACAAAGGCAGGTTTATTCTGACCAAATGCTTATTATACTTATATCACCTAACCTTTTTACATAACTTAATTTGTACAATTTTAACTACTAAATGAAATGAAACAAACAAAAACAAGTTTACGTATATTAGCCCAAAAGCCCAATAAATGCTAGTGTTCGAACCTCAGTTTGATGTTTTAATCCTCATTTTTTAAAATGCATTACACATTTTCATTTCCCCTTTATAGCTGTATAGAAACCTCTCACTGCAGACAGAAGGATTTGACTAGCTTAGCAGAGACTCTGGTAATGGCTTTACATTGTTCTCACCATGCGTAAACACTGCTGGCTGAAGTTGTGGTTGATGTACGTGGCCTCCATGGCCAGGTTACGAGGAGAGTTGAAGGAGTTTCCCTCGTCCTGCGGCGGCTCATTGGCCGTCTCACTCACGGTGAGCAGATCTGAGAGCAGCGGTTACAGGCAGGTTAAAATACAGTACAGAAAGAAGTATTCAGATCCTTCGCCTCATTACAAAGTACTAATACAAAACGGTAAAATTACTCTACTACAAGTAAAACTCCGGCAAGACATTTGGTCTTAAAAGTATGCAAGTATTATTAGCAAACGTATTCAAATTATGAAAAAAGGTATTAAAAAAATGTGCATAAAAGTGTAGTTTTAGTACTTTAAGTGAACGTAATGATTGTGGACTAAAAGCTTCCTGTGTGTTTCATCATGTTATTTGACCCCTTATTTGTTAGAAGTAAACTGTTGATGTATTTTCAGAAGAAACTGCCCCATGCTCAGCTTTGTGGCCATACAACTCACAGCTGATCTAAACAGCTTTTTAAAGTATTCTTAAGTTTACACATCTGGACTAAGTTATCTTTACTGGACAGTAAGGAGAGGAAAAACTGTCATCTGAAAAGTAACCAAATCTGTCAAGAGTAAATTGAGATATCTTTGTGAAAGCCCCGGTGTCAGTAGACCTCTCACCAAAGTCAGAGTTGTCTCTCTTGTCAAAGAACAGCTTGTTGCCCACTCTCTGCACGATGATGTCCCAGGAGTTGACAGAGCGTGTGCAGCACATCAAGGTCGCCAAGATGGCGTCGGTGGCAAACACATTACCCTGAGTCTTAGCCAGCTAGAA